TGGTACAGTTCCTTCCTTCTTTTGTGTGTCTCCTTTAGGAAGCATTTCCCCAGGTCTTGCAGGACTGTGTAACTGAAGTGTGTACCGGTGTTCCAGCATGTTCTATTGCCTAGATGGGTCAGGGTAGGATTGCGGGGGACAGGAGGGACAGGTAGGGTCTGAAGGAGGCCCTGAGGCTAGCAATGTAGATTGCAGGACTTGCCCTGACCCTGGCCCCTGGGGCTTCTTTTGTGGGACTCTGCTTGCTGGAGGAAGTTTTCCCTTCTCTGGGAAAGTGAGAGGGTGCAGCTGTCTGTCCTAGGGCAGAGTCTCCCTTTGGTGGGCTTTGTGCAGATTCTGGTATGTTTGGTACCCCCTCATTGGCCATTCCCCCTTTCCTTTTTCCAGCCTGTGCCCTGAGGTGGCTCGGCAGCTGCCACGCAGCTCCTATTCCTCTCTAATCTTTTTTCTACCACCCCTTGGAAAACAGCCCGCTGTGTCTGTTCACACCTGGTGGTGCCAACTCACCTAATAGATGTGAGTGACTCACTGATCTTCCTTACCTTCCCGAAAGCTTGAACTCAAGTGACTCTCCAGGCTGGATGATTTGGAGCAGGGAGGGGGCATGCTGCAGGGAACAGCCCTATTGGTCACAAAGAGATGGATGGCTGATGAAGAGGCCCAGCCACTCCAGCCTCTCACCCCATATACCTAGGGCCTGTGAGGCCCCTTCCCCGCTTTCCCCACAGGGCCTAACATCCTAGGAGGTGAGCTGAGACCTCGCCACACTCCCTTCTCAACCCTGCTCTCTGGCTCCATGTGGGATGTGGGGTGAGTGCCCAGCAATGCTGAGGACTGCAGGGGAGCAGAGGAGCTGTTTTTCAGCAGTGCCGACTTGCCCAGGTAGCGAGGAGCATCAGCTCCGGGGTATCCAGCGGTGCTGCAGGATGTGCCTGTGTGCAGGAGCACAGCCAGAGGCCGACAACTCCCTAAAGCCCCAGGGCCTCTTGGCAGCAAGAGGGAATGGCCAAGAGGAAAGGCGCATCACGCAAAATGCCTGTGGACAGGTGAGCTGAGGCTGCAGGGAAGGCCGAGGGGCCTGTGAGTGATTGGGATGAAGAACCTTGTGCTCCCCCTCTGGAGTGGGAGGCAGGAGAGCATGAGTGACGGTGTCAGGCAACTAAGGAGGCACACTGCTGCATAGGCCCTCCCCCTGCGTCTGGGCACCTGCCACAAGTGCCTAGTCCTGTGGCCAAGACGAGCTCTCAAGTGGGAGCTAATCAATGAAGTAGTGCCTACTCGCTCGCCTGGGCCCAGCACTGGCTTGTGAAATGGGCTGCAGAATCACCAGGGAGGTCAGCAGAACAGATAGTCTCAAAAACCAGAGGAGCCTCCAGAGGTGACAGTTGCCAAACAGAATACTCCTGGAAGCCACAGAGAGATGGGGCTCTGCCTCTGACGGGAGGTGTGAGGAATGTGAGGTGGCAGTTTCCATAAATGTGTAGGAGAGGCTGTGGCGAGTTCAGAGTCGGGACCTCAGGGACCCCATATGCGTTCCCAGGCTAGAAGCCGAGTTGTGCTCCCAGCACCCTCATTCCTGGCTGGTGGTGGCCGACCTGCCCTCGCTAATCCCTCAGCAGCTGGTGGAAGCCTCCGGAAGGGCCAGAGGGGTAGATGCCCAAGAGCCTGGAAGGAGGTCACGTTTCAAAGCCATCTGTGGCCCTTCACACACCCATGTTGTTCCTTTGTCTCCCGGAACGTGTCCTCGGTAACTGTGTAACCATTGGTTCTGCGAGTATTGCTGGAGCCATTGGGATTCCCAGGCTTGCCTCTCAGGTAACATGCCTCCTGTCTCTGCTAGGTTGGAGGACTCTCCTCTTCCTACCCGAGAGGTTTCACAGCCGCCAAAGCCAGGCTTTTGCTGTGTAGCTTCAGACCCAGGGAGGAGCAGCCAGTGGACATGGTCTGTGGCCTTGATTGGAAACCATGGAGTTGGTCAAGGGGACACTGGCTGAACGCATTCCTTGTCTCCCATGCAGATCTCGATCCCAGCTTCCCTTGGTTTGAAGTCTCGAGAGATAAAGAAGAATTTCCAGGACTACTATGTGACGAGTGGTTTTATGGAGACTGGGAGAGAACTTGTCCCAGTGGGTAGAGTGGGATGCCCTCCTGAGAGAAAGGGACAAGGTGGGCCAGGATGGGGATCTGTGTGCTGTCACCCAGACACCCTCTGAGTGACGTGGTGAAGTCATCTGCCAGGCAGCTGCGCCTCATCAAAGCAGGAGGATTTGCACCCCGCCTCACCCCCGCTCTGGAGCAGCCTTCTGGTGTCCTGAGTCCTGTGGCCTAGGGGGGCAATGTTGCCTCACCTGTCCTTATCATCCTCTCATTTGCAGCCTGTCCTACTTATCACACTCTTTCCGACCCTCCTGCAGTTCCCTCTGCTGATCTAGGCTGGGGCTGGAGGGCTGGGGGAGGGGTGGATGCTGGGGATGGCTCTGGGCGCGGGCCTGGGAGCTGTCCTCCTGTGCTTTTTCTGGGAGGCCTGCCTGGTGGAAGCCTGGGATGCATTCCCTGGTGGCCCAGCCTATCCACATTCCCTGGTGGTTTGCCTTGTGTCTGTCGAGCAGCTGCTTAGAATGGCCCCTTTTGGTAGAGTCCTGTTTCTGCCCCAGGGGCCAAGCACAAGCCCACCTATGACCACTCATACCTGCTCTCTGCCTCCCCTGATTCAGTGCCAGGGCATTGAATTATGCTTTTGTTCACATAAATGACTGTGGGGCTGACAGTCAGCATGCTGTCTGTTTGTTCTACTCCTGAGTGTGGAGCCAAGTTGCCCGTGTGGCCTTGGGCTGGTGACTCCACAGTTCTGAGCCTCAGTTTTCTTGCCAGTAAAAGGGGCATACTAACCTCATGGGGTGGTCAGGCTTAAATGAGTGTGTGCCCGTAAGCAGGTTTAAACAGTGTATCCAGACTGCAGGGGATTTTATTGTGATTCAGGTATGGTGAGGCCAACAGACCAGGAGACGATTGCTCTTGAAAAGACTGTTATAGTCACCAAGAGGAAGGGACATGCCACATGGAGCCACATCGGCAGACCAGGGAAAAAGGCACAGGCTGGGCTCCACTGTGCTTTCCTTGGGAAGGACCTGGCTAGGCAGGGTAAGGAGGTTTATGAACAGCCACTTTGAATGATTTCATGGGACTCTGGGGTGAGGGAGCTGCAGCCATAGCCTCTCCTTCCTCACAGGTTGCCGGGTGCCTGCCCCTGGACAATGACCCAGTGGCCCAGTGGCCATTGGTTGGTTTGCATATGAAAGGCCTACACCAAGGCAGGTCATTTGCTGTCTCAGGGAGTTGTCTAGGCCTGAGGGGTCTGGGAGACCTCAGGTGTCATCTCATCAGAGTAAAAAGACATGCTTCATTAAGGGTACAGTTTAATTCCAACAAGAGGACTAAATGGGAAGTATTTATAATACAATGATAGGTATGTTAATTAGCTTGATTCCATTCCTCTATGCCGTGTGTGACTGATATCACTTTGTATCCCTTAAATATATACAATCCTAATTTGTCCGTATTCAATAAAAATAAAAAGACATGCTTAAGATACCAAAACACATTTTTGGTTAAAATGGCAAAAGGTATTTAGTTCTACATTCATGATGTGGGTGGTGGAGCCTCAGGAAGGTGCAGTGGGAAGAGCCCAGGCCCTAGAGGAAGAGGCCCATGCTGCTATCTCCTGCTTCCCCTATGTTTAGCCTCTGCTCTGGGTCAGGGGGGACAGGAGGACACCCCTTACTTGCAGGGCTGTTTGGAGGTCTTAGTGAGAGGACCCATTGAAAGCTCACAGCTTGGTGCTTGGCCACCAGGAGCAGCTCAATGCATGAGAGTTATTACATTTTTGTGTCCCTTATAAGGGAAAAACCCACTAGGGGCCCTTACACATTCTTGTCCTGGGGTCTTCCCTCTGGTAATCTGTTTTAAAGGAAAACATTTTCAACCTAAGGGACATCAGCCCCAGAAGTGAATGTAAGATCCAGAGCCAGGTGGTGCATTTGACAGCGTGCCTAGAAGGAGCCGGCTTCCAGAGACTCACTAGTCATGTCTTCCCCTTTCCTCCCTGGGTCTCTGTTAATCTCTCCCTTCCAGAGGATTCCCTTGGGATGGAGGGATTTGGGTTTGCTTAGAGTTGTGTCCCCTTCTGTAGGAGACAGGGAAATGAGATCTTAGTAGTGCACCATTCTGGCCTGAAACACTTTCCAGAGCAGGTGTATAGAAGAGCCCTTATTCCCAGGCCCAACCACCTCAAGGAAGCTGCTCCAAGTCCAAATGGGCAGGCCTGAGAGGTAACCCCTCTTTCTCATGCCTTCATAAGGCACATACCCCAGGCCTCATGCCACTCAGCCCTCCTGTCCTCTTGCTTGGGACTGAGGGTATGGTGAGAGTTCACAAAGGAGAACAGAAACGGAGCTCCCAGTCAATGGGAGAGACCAGCATCCTCAGGTCTCCAGGTAAAGGGCTCTGTGCCCTACCTACCAGCCATCTGGAGCCCCCAGGACTCTTGATGGCCAGTCTTCTTAAGCCCTGAGGGGCCCCAGCTGGGTCCTGGCTGCAGCCCCAGCCTCTCCTTCCTCACAGAGGTCTGCCTTAGTCCTGTTCAGGCTGCTGGAACAGAATACCAGACCAAGTAGCTTATAAACAACAGAAATTTAGTTCTCACCGTTCTGGAGGGTGGAAGTCCAAGGTCAGGGGGCCAGCATGAGGGAGTTCTGGTGAGGGCCTTCTTCTGGATTTCAGATGGCCATTCCAGCCTATGCACACGTGGAGAGAGCAGAGTAAGGAAGCAAGCTCTCTTCTCTCTCATGAGGGCCCTAATCCCATTCTCAAGGGCTCCACCATCATGCCCCGATCACCTCCCACCTCCAGCACCTTCACATTGGGCACAAGATGACATAGGAATGTCAGGGGACACGAACATTCGGACCACAGCAGGGTCTCCTCCTCCACTGTCTCCCCAGCATCCTGTTTGCTGACATCGAGGGCTTCACCAGCCTGGCCTCCCAGTGCACTGCCCAGGAACTGGTCATGACCCTCAATGAGCTCTTCGCCCGCTTTGACAAGCTGGCTGCGGTGAGTCACTCTGGGCCTGGGCCAGAGGGTGGCCTGGTCTGGGCAGTCGAGGGCCCTGTGGTCAAGCCCCTGCTGACCCCCAGGGTGGGCACATGCCAGGCTGTGCTCTGCTGGGAGAACCTGTTGCCAGGAACCAGCGATGGGCAGAGGGACTGCTCAGGCAGTGGCTGTGTCCTCACGCTCCAGGTCGGCCCAGACATCACACAGCTGGAGGTGCTTTACTAGCCTTGAGGGAGTGAGCCGGGCATTCTCCATGCCCTGTCTGTGGAAGGGGTGGCAAGCCCTGGGAGGCATTCTGCCCAAACCCCAGCAGAATTTCTGTTTGAGGCAAATTAGATGCTGTGTGATCACATTCCTGATGAAGTTGGCCAGGGTAGTAAGAGAACGAGTCTGAATCCCCACCTGGCCTGTAAGCAGCCACATGCTACCCCGAGAGGCTTTCAAAAAGAAGATTCCCCAACATTTGGACTAATTGGAAGCAACGCCCCACAGCAGCGGGTGGAGAACATGCTCCTCCATTGGGTCCCAATTTACAGATGGTCATCCTTTCCCAGTCCGTGGCTTTAGGTGGTACTTGAGGCCTTTGTAGAGTCATTGCATCTAAGTGGCCACTAAAAACAATGTCCACTGACATGTGGAAATGGCCCCTGTTCCACATGGATGCCACGCCTGTTTGTGGATAAAAGGGTGATGCTGGTCAGGGCCTGTCCAGGGCCTCTGAGGTTGCTAGATGGTGGCCGCGTCACTGATCTTGGACAAAGTGAATGAGCATGCTACGTGCCTGGGTGTTGGATAGACCTCAGGACTCCAGGCCACCTGGCCACTTGAGTCCCAGGGTCCCAGCTTTGTGGAGTAACCTTTGGGAGCCAGGTTTGGACAGCCTGTAATTGATGATTAATGACAATTCATCTCACTCCTAATTATAGATCAGTGGTGGCCTGCGGCACCTGTCACTCAGCAGCAGCAGTGGCAATTGCCTTGGCTCTGTGGCACTCCCGTGCTTGCTGATTTAGCAGAACTCTTTTTGACAGACCTCTCGGACGGGCTGAGGGTCAGGAAAGGGTTTGGTTCAAGCTCATTTCTGCTGCTAAAGTCTTTTTTATATATATAAGAAGAAGAATCAAAACTGTTTCTAGAATCTTGGGTCAGGAGTCTGAGTGTGCTCCTGGGACATGGAGTGGAACCAGAGATTCTCACCCCAGGCATGGGACCTTCCCTGAGCTGACAAGGCTGCCCTTGTTACTGAGCCATGGTGGACTGCCGCTCCAGGCCTGGGGAACTGGAATGCCTTTCTGAGCAGTTTAGCCCATTGGCTGACCCCCCACCTCCTTCTCCCACGCCTCCTGATAAGCCTGGCCTGGGACTAGGCAGAGTTCTGGCATAGGGTCTGTGGGGAATCTGTTTGCTTCCCATTTCTTTTTAATTTTTTAAAAAATCAATTTGCTTTCCAGGAGAATCACTGTTTACGTATTAAGATCCTGGGGGATTGTTACTACTGTGTCTCGGGGCTGCCTGAAGCCAGGGCTGACCATGCCCACTGCTGCGTGGAGATGGGCATGGACATGATCGAGGCCATTTCGTAAGTTCCCCACTCAAGGGAGACCGTCCACAACCTAAGCAATGCCTGCCTGGCCTACTGGACAGGTGGAAGCAGGACAACCATGGGGCAGAGCCATCTCCCCACGCCAACCTGGAGGCAGATCTGCACCTCCAGACTTGGTGGCTTCTCCAGGGCTCCTTACCACCCACAATGGGGGTGCTTCACCCAGCAGAGGCACCAGGGGGAGGACTCTGCAGGCTCCAGGCAGGGGGAGAAGCTAGTAGTCATGGCAGTGCCCCGGGTGGGCCTCACACTCCTGTGTCTTCTCATAAACTCCCAGCCAGGGTAGAACCCACTGGCCTCACTTCCTCCCGGATGGGAGAGCTGGGCTCACAAGGGTTAAACAGCTCAACAGGGCCTAATCCTAGTGGGTAGATTCATAACAGGAGTTCCCATTTCAGAGACTCCACCCTTCTTGGGGGCAATAGCAAAAAGGCTCTTGGGCCAGGTCTTGGTCATCACTAGCGATTGAAGGAACCCTGGATTTTGTAAAATGAGGTCAGTCCAAGCCTGCGTGTCAGCCAGGGGAGCAGGTCAGAGATTGTGTCCAGGTTCAGTAACTCTGGACTTTAGAAATAGCCTGGACAGGGGCAAAGGAAAAGACAGATGGCCAAATCAGAGGTCAGAGTGGATGGCTAGGAAGGTGGCCAAGTCTGTTGATATTCACCAGGTGTCCCCTGCATGTCTGGGCTAGATAGTCCCTCATCCAGCAGTGCAGAGTATATTAAGGGGGACAGGCCAGGACCCCCATTGATTAACATTGATCAGATGTTTCACGTGGACACTACAAGGTAAGAGAGGCAAACTAAATGAGGAGGGGGCAGTTGGTTCCACTCAGGGGGTTTAAAGAGGCTTCACCAAGGAGGCAGCCCTGGAAAAAACACCAAGGCATAAAACTCCTAAGCAAGTGTCCTTCTGCGTACATTTGGTCATACATGGGCTGACCAAATTGATCCCAGAACAAGAGAAATGATAGATGACAGATCTCCCCTGCGATCTTCCCTCTCCCTGATGGGGGTCAAGTGGGGTGATAAGCCCAGAGTTCAAGGGGTGGTCCTACCCACTAGGCCACATCAGACTACTGGTCCCATGACTAGCCAAGTGGTCATCCCTTGGGTATCAGAGGCTCCCAGTACCTCAAAAGTACAAAATGTGTACACCCTGGCACCTGTGCCCTCTTCTGCAGACTGTGGGCAGGCCTGGGAGCACCAGCCACTGACATGTAGCCTCCTTCCCAGTCTGCCTCCCCCTCTCCCCTAGCATAAGAGGTTATAAGTGAAGGGCCCATCTGCTTTTCTGGGGACCCCTGGATAAACAGTTGGGGCCTGGGGACGTCCCATAGGACATGAAACCCTCCTAGACCCCTGCATCTTCCCAGATTCCTTTTATCTCCTGAGTAGGGAATATGTGCTCCCTTGAAACCCAGTTAATCGCTTTTCTCCATCATCCTGCTAATGTCAGAGAAGCAGCAATGTGGATAAATCCAATAAACAGATAATCCAAAAGCCATCTCTGTCTTATCCATAGAGCATTATGATTGGGGTTTAGAGTGGCTGTAACTTCCCTATTGGGTTCTAGTTGACACTAAGCTACATTTGCATTTCTCTGAATGCAATCTAATTGACTGAAGGTAGCAATGGCCCTCCATGCCCTCTGGAGGGGAGGCAGTGGGACCCTGGGTTACAGTGCGAGGCACTACGCCACCTTGTGGACAAGGCAGGAATAGTGCCCCTGAGCACCAGGACCAAGCACCTGCAGCACCTACTCCCAGTCCCTTTCAGGTTGAACGTTCTAGATTCTATTTAGTTTGGACCAGAGAAATGCCTTTTAACTCCTATGTCTTCCAATGCTCTCCCCGAGCCCTGCCTTCCAGCCTCACCCCCACCTGTGTGCTTGACCCTTGACCCTCCCCCAGCCTTACCCCTACTCCATCCCCAGGTTGGTCCGGGAGGTGACTGGGGTGAACGTGAACATGCGCGTGGGAATTCACAGCGGGCGAGTACACTGCGGTGTCCTTGGTCTCAGGAAGTGGCAGTTCGACGTCTGGTCTAACGACGTCACGCTGGCCAACCACATGGAGGCTGGTGGCAAGGCAGGGTGAGTGAGGGCCCAGACTTTGCTTCCTGCTCAATACCATTTGGGAACTATCCTGAACAGTCAGGGCTGGGTGGAAGGGAGGGGAGATCCATCTGGCTGGCAGAACTGAAGTAGAGATTCCTTGACTTATTTAAATCACAGTGTGGTCAAGTTGTAGAGAACATCATCATGATCTCCCTTTGCCAGGGGCGAGGGGGCTTACAAAAAAATGTGGCGATGGGGTAGAATTCTGAGCAGAAGGGAAAGGTTTTCAAGAATGAAGCTGACATAGAGGCCAGTACTAGGAGGTGAGGTGTGAGATGGTGTGGGTGTAGTAGGTGTGAGCTTTCTGAAAACTGGCCTCCAAGGGCCATCTTGATAATATGGGAAGGATGTACATCTGAGCCAGAGTCTGGGGTCCTGGGCCTTGAATCATGGTTGACTCAGAACTGCAGTTTGGTTTTGCATGGGAGGGTTAGTTTCTGAGCTTGCATTTTCTGCCTTCCCCATCCTGATCCCCTCTCCGCCCATAGACGAATCCACATCACCAAGGCCACACTCAACTACCTGAACGGGGACTACGAAGTGGAGCCCGGCTGTGGGGGCGAGCGCAACGCCTACCTCAAGGAGCACAGCATAGAGACTTTCCTCATCCTGCGCTGCACCCAGAAGCGGGTCTGTGGGCCAGGGCTGGAGGCGTGGGCTGAGGGCTCTGTTCCTTTTGGAGAGGAGCATTTTCATGGTCTCTCCTCCTTCATCTCTTGAGCAAAGTCATGAATTCCTTATGTAGTTGTGGCTTCTGCATCTTAGAAAAGACGGGAGAGTGAGGAAGGCCTTGCCAAAGATGATGGCAAAGATTTGGTTTGGTTTCTGCTTCTGTTGCAAAAATTCAACGGGCTTCAAATCAGCCAGCAACAGAGCCTCAGAAGGCCGCTGGATGGAGCCCAAGCAGCAAGGATATGCGCACTTACCGTATATCTGCTCTCCACCCCGCCTCTTGTTCGGCCCTCCTCATGAATATGGGCAGCCAGCTCCACCTATATCTATATATGTGTTTCTGGAATCTCTCTTTTCCCTTTTCACTTTCTAGCCTCTTTCTTCTTCCCCTTTGTCTGAGCTCAAACTTGCCAGAGTCTAAAACTGAATTATTAGCTGACTTTGGTGTTCTATTTTTAATAGTGACATGTTCTATGTTCTTAATTTTTAAAGCGAATGAAGAGAACATTTTATATTTCTCCCTAAATTAAAATGTCTTTGACTTCTCAGTCTTTCCGTTGAGTTGATCGGTTGGTCAGTGCCCTTTGGTAGAGAAAAGCTTCCCTGTTTCTTTTCCTGAGAAATTAGACCAAACACAAAGTCACTGTGAGGACAGTTCAGAGAAGAAAGTCTTGGGTGACCGAAGTATTAGGTTTTTAAGAGGAGGTGTGGAAGTTAGGGCAGGTGTCTACCCTCAGGGGGACATCAGAGGGGCATGAACCCCCAGGGCAAGATCCTGTTGCAGGGTCCTTGCAGTGAGTCATATTGATTCCCCTCTGCAGACAGCCAGAAGAGGGATGGGAGGACTCAGGGCACTTTGGAGAGAGCTCCTCGTGGCTTAACCTGCACAGTTGTAAACATTTGCTTGTTCTTTGGCCAGAGTATAAATGAACTGAAATCCTTGTGGGCCCTCTTCCCACATCCTTCCTCGGGGTCCCTGGTTCACAGCCACCTTCCCACCCTGAGTTCCCTGGGCCTTGTTTCCTCCAGTTGACAAGTGGTCCAGAAGAGAGGAAATGGGACAGAGTAACAGAGAGAGAGGGACAGCCCCCATCCCAGCAGTGTCAGCTGAGGCACGCTGAATGCTCCCCAGCACCACCTCTAAGGAAGGAGGGAGTTGAGGGGGGGTGCCTCGGGCGTCCCCAGTCCTCCACCCCTAGAACCCAATTGGAAGGATAGACGGGTGAACAGACAGATGCTGGGAGAGTGTGGGCCCATAAGTACCTGCCCTGTCTCCTTTTGTGTCTTTGTACAATTGTGTCAGCCCTTGAATCTCCTCATTTCAGTGACCCAGACCTCTGTGGAAGCAGCCTTCTGGGCAGCAGTGGCCTGTCCTACCTACTGCCCTCTCTGCTAGAACGTGCCTATTTGGGAGAAGCTGAGTGGAGACTGGAGTCCCAGGTCCCCTCTCCCTCCATCAGCCCCTGGGCACCTTTAGCACCAGCTCTGCCCAGTCCTGAGGCGGTAGGCTGAGAGCCCTGCCCTGCGCTGGCCCATGCATCCCAGTAGCAGAGTCTGCTATGATTCTGTAGCTTGCAGGGTGGGAGGCCCAGACTTGTGCCAGCCTGGCTGCCTGGGAGACCAGAGGTGAGGCTTAGTCCCTTCCCCACCTTACCCACCCTCTGAGTGCCCCAGAAGCAGTGGGGAGGAGCACAGGCAGCCAGCAGTAGTTCAAGCCTTGGGGAGCTTAGGCAACCCAATGGGAAGGACATGGCATTTGATTTTGAGAGGCACCAGGGTAGAATCTTGTGACCAAACCTGCAGGGAGAACTCCTTGCCGTTTGCTTTCTCACAAGACCAGGGCTCATCACCTTCTGCCACTCTCCCCCGGGGCCAGCCAGGTGTTGGGGGTGTGGAGGCTCTGGGATCTTGGCAGACCTCTGGGCTCCAGGGTTGTTCAGAGAGGCAGGTGCGGCTGCCTCAGCTCCTGCCTGGCCAGGTACTGCGTTCCTGTGGCCTTGCCCACAGGCTGATGTATCTGTGTTGCTCTCTAGAAAGAAGAGAAGGCCATGATCGCCAAGATGAACCGCCAGAGAACCAATTCCATCGGGCACAACCCACCACACTGGGGGGCTGAACGCCCGTTCTACAACCACCTGGGCGGCAACCAGGTGTCCAAGGAGATGAAGCGGATGGTGAGTAGCTGGCAGAAGGGTATGCAGGTGACAAGGTCCAAGGCCAGTATTATCTAGGAGTGTGAGAACTGGCCCAAGTCCCTCTGGTTGCCTGGGGGAGTCTGGGGAGCCATAGAAGGAAACGTAAGTGGGCTCACCCCAACTTTGGACAAGGAGCTGGCACACCTAACTCTGGCCTGGGCACTCCCCTCGAGTCCTAACATCTTGTGGCATGCTGAATATGGCATGGGAACAGAGCTTCAGTGCCCCTTCCTCTCTCCTGGCAGAAACTGCTGGTGTAGGCTGGGAGTATGCCCTTCCAGCCAGACTCAGGATCCTGTCAGGGCCTCTGGTTGGGTCTTGGCACTGTCTGGTGAGGCCCTGGGGAGCTGGGTGGACACTGGCCTTCCAGATCCCCTTCTAGCACCTACTGCATTTCCCAAGCAATTGAAGCCACATCTTTTCTTTTTTTTTTTCTTTGTACCAGGGATTGAACTGAGGGCCACTCGACCACTAAGCCACATCCCTAGCTCTATTTGGTATTTTTGAATTTAGAGACAGGGTGTCATTCAGTTGCTTAGCACCTCATTTTTTGCTGAGGATGGCTTTAAATCACCATCCTCCTTTCTCAGCCTCTCAAGCCGCTGGGATTAAGGCGTGCGCCACCTCGCCCAGCTTCAAGTCACATCTTTTCAGTCAGTTGCTCAGAAACCATCCCAAGGCTTTCTGGCAAGGGTTGGGTGATGGTCCCTTTGCCCTCTGTGCTGAGAAACACCCCCTTTCCCACTGACTCCATCCTTCCAGCTGGGTACATAGGACTGACATCTCCACCTAAGGCACCCTGTCTGCCTCAGGGCACAGACACTCCAGCTATCACTGCGTAAACCAGGGACAGGCTAATTCAGGACACTGCTGGGCTCTTGCAGAAATGACAGGAAGATAGAATTAGGAGTCGGAAGGAGAGGAAGGAGAATGACAGGAAGCCAGGTTAGAGCAGTAGCATTTCTTTGTGCTGAGAGTGTGGCCACCACCTCTCAGGCCCCTGATCAGCACAAGGGCACCTCTTCGCCAGGTGGAAGCCACCCTGATGGGGAGGGCTGGGGGAGGGTGGTTTTAATGTGTGAATAAGCTGGAGTGGGCTGCTAGCCCAGGAATCCTCCAGTTGGGGTCTGTGGATCAGATGGGGTTTAAATGGAGCTGAAGGAACAAGAGACACACAACATGGGGAGCCAGCAGCCTGTAGGAGGGGACAGGCTGGGCGCCCAGTCACCACTCCTTTCTAGCCAACAGCAGCAGATGACACAGGTTTCAAGGAAGTGTGCAGGAGGGAAATGATTGGTCAGACCTCTGCCTAACATTCTATAGGTAGATAAGCTGGTTGAGGGACACTGGTGTGACCAGGGAGCATATGGGAGAGGCTTGGTTTCCCCAGGGGCTTTGAACCTGGACATCTGCAGACCTGGTGAATGCCACAGGCTCTGGCCACCACTTTCCCTTGCCCCAGCAGCCCTCCACAAAGCAAAGAGCAGGTGGCAGCTGTGGTCACCTGAGTCTTGCAGATTGTAGCCACACGACTGGGCTGGTCAGGAAGGGAGGGAGGGGTGAGATGGAAGGGGCGTTGGAGGTGAAGAGTGGGGAGGAGAGAGGGCAAGGAAGGGGAGGCAGAGAGGTGGAGAGGAAGCAGGGAGCAGCCAGCGAGGAGGAAAGGGACCTGGTGGTAAATCACATTCTCTGTTTAAAATCCTAGGGAAGTTATTTTTTAGTGACACTTGGTATAAGCTGCATCTTTAGTCATTTCAGTCCTAAAAGAGGCTGTTTGGACTATCAGCACCTGTTTGGCAGACAGATTCATCATTGTTAGGATAAGGAGCCTTGGAAGGATTAGCAGGAAGGGCTGTAACTGGGGAAGGGATTCTGGGGAGAGGGGAAGGCTCCTCCCAGTGTGAACTGCTTCACCCAGGAAAGGAAAGAGGGGAGGCCCAGCCTCTCTGCTGTCTGGCTGGGCAGTGTCCCTTGATTATCCATCCCCTCCTGGCCCCATCTCAGTCTGTCTAATGGGAATCTCTAAGCTGGGGACAGAGGCAGTTCCTTCAGCAGCTGAGCAAGCCGTGCACTTTTGGAGTTAAACTTGACAGAAATCTTTTGAGAAAGACACGTAAAAGAAGAGCTTTTGCCCTGAATTCCAATGCACAGGGGAATTTTTTAAAAGAAATAGCCCACTGAAGGTGGAGGGGTAGGGATTCCATGAAACTGTAACAGAGCAGCTAAAAAGTTCTAATTTGGGATTGGCAGATTGGTTTTTTTTTTTTTAATCTTTTTTTTTTTTTTGGTCAGGTGAGGGGGAAGGAGTACCAGGGATTGAACTCAGGGGCACTCAACCAGTGAGCCACCTCTCCAGCCCTTTATATATTCTATTTAGAGAGAGGGTCTTGCTGAGTTGCTTAGGGCCTTGTTAAGTTGCTGAGGCTGGCTTTGAACTCATGATCCTTCTACCTCAACTTCCCAAGCTGGTGGGATTATAGGTGTGTGCCACCACACCCAGAGGTTTTTTGAAATCTTTACCCAATTTTTCTTGGCTTTTGAATTCCATGAGGAGCTGTGCAGGTCTCTGCTCAGGCATGCCTGTTGTAACATCCTCTTAAGATTATTTATTAAATAGAGACTGATGATGGGAAGCCTGTGGATTGAGCTTATGTAACCAACCCCAGGAAAGCTCTGTGTTCCTCCGGGGACCAGCAGGCTGGGAGAGGTGAAGTGACTCATATCCTAGCTCCAATGAGCTGGGTGGGGGAGGTGGATTTGCACCCAGTCTGGTGGACTGTGTTTTGATTTTTGTTTTTCTGTGATGTTGGGAATTGAACCCAGGGCCTCACACTTGCTAGACAAGTGTTCTACCACTGAGCCCAGGTCTGTTTTCAGTAACCTCACTGCTGTGGTTTATGGACCAAAAGAATTTCTGCCCTGTAATCAGTGCACCACTCAACCAGATGCTAAGCTGTACAGACGAACATGGCACCGTGTGTGCACCTGGCTCCCACCTCTGCACCGTGGGGAAAAGTGGGTGCCCAACGTCTGCCTTAGCAGATGACCTAAGGGACATTGGAGAAAGTCAGAAACATGTTTATTCAAAACACTTTAGTATAACTAATTAGAACAAATTAAACAATAGAAAATTAAATTAAAAGCACTTTAGGATGTTTTTGATCTGTAGAGATGGGCGTATGGATAATAGAGCTCGATTGTTCTTGGTTGCTTAATAAACTTGTTGCCAATCTATGGAAGGATGCTAGAGCATTAGCATCTCATGGCAGTAGTCTGTAGGGTGCTCTCCTCTCTGCTGGTCATGCTGTGCTCCAAGGGGTCCTGGGCACTTCAGGGATAGGTTGGTCCTCAGTCAGAGCACCCATTTGAGTGATAGCAAAGTAGGACAGGTCTTGCAGCAAAGAGGCAGGGCCTTGGGAGACAACTGACAGGCCCTCCTGGGTTGAGCTAGGAGCAGCTCAGAGCACTGGAAATTGTTGGTCCTTGAATGTGCCCCCCCCCCAGGTGGAGCTGCTGAGGCTCAGGAAGTGGTTAGCTGAGGATAGAATAGAAGGCACAGCACCTTGAAGCTGCATGGATGCCATGTCTGTTTCAGTACCCGAAAGCTCATGGAGAACAGCCCCTCTTCTTCCTTTATTTTTTTAAATAATATCTTTATTTTATTTTTATGTAGTGCTGAGGATCAACCCCAGTGCCTCATGCATGGTAGACGGTATGCCTCATGCATGTGGCTCTACCTCTGAGCCACAACCCCAGCCCAGCCCCTCTTCTTGTATCTCTAAACCATATCCTTGATGGGATGAAGCGAGATCCGTTTGGATTTTTGGTTCACACAACATTTGCTGAACTCCCTTTTTGTACAGTAGTGCTCCACACTGGGCCACAGAGACAAGGGGCCATTCCCTGTCTTTTGTCCTAGAAGCCCAAGCCTTATCTGGAACTTCAAGTCTGAGGGCTGTTTGTCTCCCCCACTGCCTTCTGGATTCTGCCCCTTCCCACTGTAGGGACCCTCCATTCTACCACAGCTAGTTAGACCCTGACACAGTTTTGGGGACTTCACAGGCTAAATAGGGCTTTGAGTTTGATGATCAGCAAAGGCCAGTGTCCTACCCCCCCACCCCTGGCCCCCTGCAGAAACACAAAACAGCAGCCAAACCCATGTAGGTGTTCCTTACCTCCAGAGAGCCCCAAAGTCCAGCCTGGCAGAAATACATTGGTTCTCAGATACCAAAACAAATTTGTTGCAGGAGTCTGGATTGAAATTTTTAAGTGAAGAACCTGTGAATTCCCATGGTTTTTGTGTGCTCTTTGTGCCTTACATGTGTGAGGAGGGGTGTATGGGGGGGAGGGTATGGAGGCTTGGGATAAGGGGAGGAGTCCACAGAAGGTGGGGGTCAGGAAGAGCTTAGACACAGGGACTTTGCAGTGGATGGAATGGCATCAGTGTCCCCAGCATCTAGCATGGATCATGCCTCAGAAGGACCTCACTGTCATCAAACAGGGGGAGGGAGGGAGGGAGGGAGGGAAGAGGCAGACTTCTGTGTCCAGTGCTTTGAGAGACCACAATGAGCAGAAACTGGCCACTCCTCACAGGCTCAGCTCACTCCCTGCATGTCCTCAGTGCTCTCTGTTCTCACACTTCTCTCTCTCTCCTCTCTTTCTCTCTCCTCTTTTAGGGCTTTGAAGACCCAAAGGACAAGTGAGTAATAAGCCCTTCTTTATTCCTGACACCACCATCCGGGAAATAGCTCCAAATCTGCCTTCCCATCCGGTTCCCCACACTCATGGAACATGGTCCCACAGCAGTCAGCTGAGAGTGAAAGGAGCCTGCCGTAACAAACAGGTGGTCAGTAGTGGCCCCACACAGGCCAGGCCAGCCCAGGGACCAGCCCACCTGGCAGAGGGCTGGGCCTCAGTGCAGCCTGTTTCATTTCCTCTGCACATGTGTGCACACACACGCACACATATATGCACACATACACAAGTGCATATATGCGTGTATAGACACACCGGTACATGCGTGCGTGCACATGCTCGGCAGGCTCCGACCACACCCAGCATCCTGAGGGAATGCCTTCCTTGCGCTCCTCTGATTCCCGGTTCTCAGGACTGTCAGGGGTTCCACTCAAGGACCAGACTTCACCCTGAGAAATAGTTGTTTTTTTTTTTAATATTTATTATTTAGTTGTAATTGGACACAATACCTTTATTTTATTTATTTATTTTTATGTGGTGCTGAGGATCAAACCCAGGGCCTCGCGCTTGCTAGGCGAGCGCTCTACCACTGAGCTACAACCCCAGCCCCGAGAAACTCAGCACTCAAAGACCATGAAGCCTGCCTCACAAGAGGGCCCTGAGTCCAGTTAAAGGGACCAGGCAGACCACAGTCACTGTGACAGGAGTCCCACCTTCCCATCTCAGCCTTTGTTTCAGGATGAGGAGACAGATGGAGGATAAAGAGCAGAGGGTGTTGTCTTTAGGGAAAACAACAAAATCTTCTGTAATGACTCCCAGTATTATCACATACTGAGTTATCTCGCCAGCGAGGCCCTCCAGCAGCAGGCCTGAGGGTCAGGCGGCTCCCCCTGTGTGTGCATTTGCAAAGAGTAGGTGCTCACCTGGCCTCAGTCCCTGGGTCAAGGCTGACCATCACCACTGCCAGTCTCTCTGGTTATTCCAGAGGGACTTCAGAGCCAGCCCTCTAAGGGTGCCCCTGATGGTCATTGGGTCTCGGTCTGTGCCTCCTGCCCCCCAGGAATGCCCAGGAAAGTGCAAACCCTGAGGATGAAGTGGATGAGTTTCTGGGTCGGGCCATTGACGCCAGGAGCATCGACAGGCTGCGATCTGAGCACGTCCGGAAGTTCCTCTTGACCTTCAGGGAGCCTGATTTAGAGAAGAAGGTATGGCACCTGGGTGGGCAGAGCCAGGACCAGGGAGGCAATAGGACACTTCCTTCCAGCACCAAGGAAGGAGCAGCTTCTTGTCGCCTCAGTTTCCTCATATGTGATACTGTGCTGCCCAGGGAGTTCTAGAGAGACTTCCTTGGTTAGAAGGAATAAGTCTTTTTTTTATATATTTATTTTTTAGTTGTAGTTGGACATAATACCTTGATTTAGTTATTTTTATGTGGTGCTGAGGATCGAACCCAGGGCCTCGCACGTGCTAGGCGAGCGCTCTACCGCTGAGCACTGTCAGCCCCAGCCCTAGAAGGAATAAACCTTAATCTTACTGCATCTTGGCTTCCTTATCTAGAAACAGATATTACAGTGAGGAATAAATGAGTTCTCTTTGTGTAAAACACAGAAAATAATAACTGCCGCCCCGAGGCTGTTCACTAAACATTGGTTGCTGTTGGTATTGCGATTGCTGCTGTCATTTGGCCACACAGCTTGAGGCACACTGGAGCCTCCAGGCCTGAAAGTTGGAAGGGGCAGTCAAGATCCCTGTGCCCCACCTCCTTGGGCTCTGAATGCAAAAGTCACCCAGTGAAGTAGTTCCAGAGCCACGGCTGGACCCCAGGCCAGGCCTCTTTGCACCATATTGCAGGGTCTCCCAGGGTTCAGTTCACACGGGCGTGGGTGAACTCTCATCAGCATTAAATGAGGGAAGCTGGTTAGCAGAGAAACACTTTTCAACAAAGGGAAGTAAGCGGTCCTGACTTATGCATTGCCTGCTCCAGGTAACCGTGCAGCAATGACCTCCATGAGTGCAGCTGGGTGGTGTCATGGAGAAAGCTGCAGCTGGGAATTGGGAGCTCAGAGTGACCTTGGGCAAGTCATGGAAGCTCTCCCAGCATGCTCACCTCAGAAGTAGGAATAACAGCAGTCCTGTGCCTGTGTCTGGGGATGTTGTGAGCATGACCAATGGTGATGCAGATGATGCCCAGGAATTGACAGTTGTGATCATGATGAACTAATGACAGTGACTCAGCCTGCATATAGTTTCTGTTTGATCCAATCCCAAGTCCCTCCCCACTGCCCTCCTCCGGGCACCATCTTGCAGGGATTTGCACTGGTTTCTTGTGATCTGTGTCTGTCTCTGGGTCTCAGATCCTAGGCTCTCTGGGATTGACCTGGCTGGGGTGGGACATCCTCCACCTCTCACCATGTGTGTCTCCTCTCAGTACTCCAAGCAGGTAGATGATCGATTTGGTGCCTATGTTGCCTGTGCCTCGCTCGTCTTCCTCTTCATCTGCTTCGTCCAGATCGCCATTGTGCCCCAGTAAGTATCCCCATCCCTCCTGGGTTCAGTCCTCTGGCTGCAGGGTGGGAGAGCTGGTCATTTAGAAGAAGAGAATAGGGAGGCTGGGCTGAACCTCCTCGAGCAGGAGAGGTTTCTCCACCTGTCCTTGGTGGACGAGGAAGCCAGGGTGAGTGCTCTCACTGGGCACTGCTTAGCTGCAGGAGAGACCCCTGTCCACCACTTATCATCTCATGCCACTTAGCACATACCTCTGCTACCCGGTTGAATCACCCAAAGTATCTGCCAGGCTGCCTCCTGTATGAACTTTAGATCTTGGAAAAAAAACAATACATCTTCAAAAGACAAAGGTTTCTTACTACTGTAGGTATTTCAAAGAGTGGAATAATTCAGGTTCTGAAGTTTTGTCACAAAGAGACACTGTTGAACTTTTCTGAGGACTATTTGTATCACTGTGAGAGCCTGTGGCTTCTGCAGGAACCACTTTGAAGTAGGTAGCGGGCTTTCAGAAATAAAGTTTAGTAGATTGTCATATAGAGTCATGCCTAGGAGAGAAATGTGTATGCATGTGTGTGTGTGTGTGTATATACATATGTTCGTGGGTATATATATGTATGTATACATGTTTTTGCATCTTATGTGTGTAAAATCATTCAAACATACAAAAAGTAATATAATCAACACTTATCCCCTAGCTTTCTTAATATTTTGCAATATTTGTTTCAAAATTTTTTCCTGTTTTTTTTTTGGAGGGGGGGTACTAGGCATTGAACCCAGGGGTGCTTTACCACTAAACTACATCCCCAACCCTTTTCTATTTTTTCTTTTGAGATAGTGTCTCACTAAGTTGCTTAGGGTCTCGATAATTTGCTGAGGCTGTCCTTGAACTTGCAATCCTCCTGCCTCATCCTCCTGAGCCACTGGGATTACAGGTGTACACCACTATGCCTGGCTTTTCCTGATTATCTAAAGTAAATTTATGAACATTTTGCCCCTAAAATCCTCAGTGACCTCCATTTAAAGGACATTTTCTTCCTTAAAGTCAACATCGATTCTCTACTAACCCTGTACTCAGTCCATGTTCCAGTTTTCAAAATTGGACCCCAAAGAGTCTTCTACTCTTATTTTTTTCCAATAGGGATCTACTCAAAATCCCCTGGTTGCAAGTGGCTATATCTTGTAAGACTTGCTTCAACTAAAGAGTCCCCACACCCAACACATTCTATTTTTCATTTTGAAATAACTGTAGTCTTCTGAGAAGTTGCAGAAGTAGTGCAGAGCCTCTGTGTGTCTGTCTCTTACCAGTTTCCCTTACTGTTGACAACTTCCAGAGCCACAGCACAGTGATCAAAAACAAGAAACGCATGCAGGAATGATACTGTTCACTAACCCACAGAGCATGTTCTCATCTTATCCGTCCCCCCAGGGCCCTCTTCCTGTTCCAGCTGCCAGGTTGGGATCCCACCCTGCATTTAGTCGTCTTATCTCCTCCTCCGTCACTTCCAATCTGATAGTTCAGCCTTTGCCTGTCTTGCATGACCATGGCACTATTGATGAGTCCTGGACAGTTAGAATGATGCAGTTTGGGTGTGTCTGATGCTCTCCTGATCAGATTGGGGCTGTGTGTTTTGATGAGACTCCCAGGGGAGTGACCATGTGTCCTGTCAGTGCATGGTGTTAGGAGGCACGTGAGGTCAACATGCCTTTTTACTTAACACCTTTTATTTTTATGACATTTATTGTTGAAAAGGTGCCCCATGCATTTGTATATACTATGACTCTATCAGGGCACCCCAGGTAACAACCAGATGCTGGTGTGGGCTCCACCCGGTTGTGCAGCTAAACACTCCATGGGCACCAAGGCTGTGCAGGGCTGGTGGGATTGTGGGTCCATATTGGCATAGAACTCCATTTTTCTGTATTGAAATGGAGCCACAGATATCAACAAGCAGGTGAGGCCTTCTGTCCCTTAGCTGAGTGCATAATCCTGCCTCTCTGCCATTTTTCTTTCTCTGCAGCGTGGCCTGGGGGCTGGGCCACCCCAGCTCCTGCTCTGTCTGCAGTGGCTTCGTTCCCTCCTCTGGCCATAGCTCTAAGTGGCTAAGGCATTGACAGAGGTTGTCTCTAGCCATCCCTCTCTAGGGAAACCTTAAAAGCCACTTTAAAGATTTTTTTCTTCTCCCTATTCCATTTGTTGAGGTCCACTAAATGATACTTGTGTGGACAGGGGTGCTGTCTGAGTCCTCCAGGGCCGGCTCCTTCCCTGGGCCTTGCTGTCTATAACCCACCTCCAGGTCACTTTCCTCCCTTGAAGGGCTCCTGGTGGCACAGCATGTGGCTGTCTCTGGCCAGCCCCTGTCCCAGGAGGCAATGGAAGGAAAGTGTCTTGCAGCTCATTTGTCTGAGGATTTCCACCGATGGGGGCCTGTGGTTTGCCTGGGAAATGAGGGACAGGGACACTTGTGTACTTTTCTTATTGAGCTGGCTGGGAATGGTGGGGGCAGGGGCAGAAACTGAGCAGGATGTGGGGGGGGGGGGCCTGGCAGTGGGCAGTGGGTAAGGGACAGGGATTAGGGACTGTCATTCTGAATGTATGTATCAGCCTTATTTCTCAGAGTGGCTGGCTGAGCTGCTGATACATGCATTTATATAAACAAAGGCCATTTGTCAAATCCACTCTCAGTCCTTGAGGTTATTTATCAAGCCACCAGTAATGATGTGGAGGGAAGGACCAGGTGATTTTTAAAGTGGGTTCTCCCAAGCTAAGTGAGGTACTCTGTGAACAGCTAGGAATACAGTATTGGTCAGGTAGCACCTGGCTTTCCATCCAGCTCCCAATGGGCTGCTGTCCCCCTGCCCTCAGGAACGGGACATTGGGCGAGGGACAGAAGGGAAGAGGCCACACTGTCACAGGCCAGAGCACTTCTCCGGAGTGGGAGGGAAGAGCAGGGGGCTTGGGGGAAATGAAGCAACTTCAGGTTCTCTCTCGGCTTTCAGAGCCTCGGGCTCCGGAGTTGTGCGGACAGGCCCTGGGGACTTGTGGCCTGTGTACTAGGCAGGCCCCAGGGAGGCTCAGGCCCAGCACCTGGACGTGGCTTCCCCCTCCCCCCTTTCTTCCCCAGCTCCGTGTTCATGCTGAGTTTCTACCTGACCTGTTTCCTGCTGCTGACCTTGGTGGTATTTGTGTCTGTGATCTACTCCTGCGTGAAGGTGAGTCCAGCTGAATCCTGGGCCAACACCTTCTTCTCTCTCCTCCTAGCCACTGCCAGGGGCTATGGCCAAGTCATGTGCTTGGCATGGGGGAGGGACAGTATAGTGCTGACCACCACTCCAGATTGGCATTGGTGGCAAGCTAGGCTGGAGGTGAGCCTCATTCTTATTGGCAGGCTCAGCCCTCGTGAATCTTCACAACAAGAAAATGCTGTCATGGCCACTTCTTGGAATCAGATGGGGTGATGGGAGGGAGGGCGCCTCACACAAAGCCTGGCACAGAGCAGTGGTCAGTAAGCACTCACTAGAAGAGACCTTCCTGGATACACCTGTGACACCACCTTCCGTTGCTGGGTGCTCAGGTTTGCCCTGGGAGGATCTCAGAGATGAGGGATTGGGGTCCATCATGCAGATCAGTGCGTGGCTGTAGAAAGGCTCAGAGTTCCAGACAGCTCACATGGCTAGCTCAGTCAGCAACGCGAGTTCAGGACCTGGAACCTGGCTCCCTTCTTCCATAATTATTTCTTTGGGGCATGTCACATACCAGGCTATGTCCTTCAGTGGCACTTGACCCCAGGCCATTGTGGTCTGTGCTAGAATCATTCAGGTTCCTGTCTACCCAGCCCACACAGCCTTTCCCGTGATTCTTTACCAGGAGGCCAAGAAGCTCTCTAACAGCAGAGTCGCACCCTCCCCAGGGCCTGCCAGGCCTCTGCTCCACCCTGACATGACACTCACTCGCCCTGACACTAACCAGGAGTAAGCCCTGCCTTCACTTTGCACACTCTTCAGAGAGCTCCATGTTCTCCTGGAAGAACTGAATCATTGTCACCTCCAAAGTCCCCTTTCTCTCTCCACCCTCCAAACAGGGTCCTTCATTAGTCTGCTAGCTGCCTAGCCACCTCAAGGTCAAGGCTGTGGTGAACTGATGGTTCAGAACTGGAGGGGACCTTGGGAGATTTCCCTCCAGCAGGTGTGGAGGTGGATGCCCAGAGAGGGGCAGGGCAGCCAGGGTCAGTCAGCACATCTGTGAGAGAAGCCTGGCAAGTGGCTGGCTGCATCACAGGGGTGACCCTCCGCCTCTCTGTCCTCAGTGCCACAATCTCCCCCGCTCTGTGCTCAGTCACCTCTTGCTATTGTCAAGTCCCCCCAGCCTGCTTTCTCTCCAGGGGAGAGTTCTACTTTCTTCATCCCATGCCTATAAAAGAATACCATATAGTCACAAAAGGCAAAAGCACCCCAAGTGTCCATCAGCAGGTGAATGGACAGATAATGTGGGGCCTGTAACCACAAAAAGGAATGACGAGCTGTTCCATGCTACAACAGGGATGACCTTGAGAACATTACTCTGAGCACAAGGTCACATGTTGTATGATTCCACTAAACTGACATACCTAGAATAGACAAATTCACGGACACAGCAAGTAGATTAGAGGTGACTAGCAGCCAGCAAAAGGGAGAATGGAAACTTACTGCTTAATGGGTGTAGAATTTCTACTAGAAGTGATAAAAGGTTTTTGAAATAGACAATGATGTTTGCACAGTATTGTAAATGTAACCAATGCCACTGAGGCTAAACTGGCAAATTTCATGTTATATATATTTTTTACCACAATAAAAAAAGTCACAGTAACCTTAAAAAACAAAGCATACCATAGCTAAAGTAGCATCTTAAAAGTTTTTGTTCCCAGAATCCTGAAAGGAATATTTCTTTTTAAAATAAAGTTATGAACTGAAACAAAGTCATTTGTTTGTTTAAGATACTTGGCCTATTCAAATCAGAATCAAAGCTATATGTAGCCCATCGATTTTTAATTAGAACCTAAATTTGATCTCTTTCCTCTTTGGTGACCTTGGAAAACCTGAGTCTATCCTGATCCCATTCGCTGTGTGTTCCCTGATTTGCACATGGCTCTGGTGTGAGAAGGGAGGAGGTCCCTTCCCTGCCTGACGCTGACTGCTCTGGCCCTTTTGAAGTTAGTACTTTGGTCTAGTGAATTCTTTCTCCCACTGTTCAAGATGGTTTGTGGAAATCATCCCTGCTTCCTTTTATACTGTGAAGGTCCCTATTTTGTTCCCAATGCCCAATTAATTCAGTAAGCTTTTTCTCAGTTCCTTTGTTGGACCCAGTGAATTTTCTGACTGTTCTAAGGAGGCCTCCAGTTCACCTCCCTCCTGCCCGTCCACAGAAACACTGTCCCCCACACACCTGTTTCCAGGGAGCTGTCTCGTCATTCTTATAGCTGGAGGGCTTCAGTAAGGAGGTGTTTAGAGAGTGCTCCCTGGTTATCCAGTCTCCAGGCTATCAGCTGACACGTCTAATAGACACCAGCCCCACCCTCATGTCCTTGCCACTAGCCCCTGATAGCAGTCTTCTCAGCATTTGTCCACTTCCTCGAAAGCAGAACCCGGCCCAAAACGTTGTTTGCTATGTGAACTGCTTTTCCACTTCATTCTTCTTCTTTCCCTCTTGTTAGGGGCTAAACTGTTTGTACATGAAGACATGAAAGGGGCCATTCTCCCTTTCCGCTTGTACGCACCAGATTATTAACCCACCCTTTGTGGGATGCAGGACCAGTCTGTCCCTGAGCACTATCTCATGCTGAATGCACGAAGGTGGACAGACTAAATGTTTATTGTACCACCTTGTCAGGTATTGACACAGCTGACCGAGCTGGGGTGTTCAATGTCATGCTGTTTTCCCTTTGAAAAATGTTTGCCCTTTGCCAGAATGCAGATATTCTCCATCTTATTTCCACAGTCTCTGAGGATCCGGGGCATGCCGATGAGATGCGTAATTCCTCAGCTACTCCAGGTGCAGGCTCTGCTCATCTGAAACCATACAGTTGTCAGGCACAGTTTCTTTTCGCTGTCTCATTTGATTTTCCATTTTCCCTGAAAAACTCAAGCTTGCTTTCTTAAGTTGTCCATATTTTGACCTTTTCACAGAGAGATGCACGAAGACAGTATGGACCCAGTCTTCCCTGTGTGGGAGGAGCAAGTCCTTTCTATAGAAGGTTCTCCCTTCTCCTCACTAGTGCTCTGAGGGGGCCTTCCATCTTGGGCCTGTGGAATCTTCTCCTGACCTGGCCTGGTGCAGTTCTCATGCACCCCTGGACTTCTCGGTGAGGTTGATCCCATACCTTGATCTTCACCGTGTTCCCAGGTCCTGTCCTCACTTCTCATCCCACGGTGTGCCTTTGGAACCCTGCTGTCTCTAGGGTGGCTTGGCTAAAGGATCGGAACCTGGAGTCCATCTTTTCATCGATGCGGTTGTGGAGGGCAAGTTGTATGTCTGCATGAAGGCCCTCCTCCCCTCCCTCCTCGTCTGTGCTGACCACAGCCCCAGAACCACCTCTCTGGGAGGAAACAGGGTTAAGTCCTTCCTCACCATCGCCTGTGTCCACAGACTCAGAGAATCTCAGATCGGAAGGGGCCTGAGCAGTAATGGAACCGGCCACCCACCCGAGGCTGAAGTCCCTTAACCTTGCAGGGCATGGGTCAGCCTGTGCTTGCTCACCTCCAGAGACAGTGGGCTCACTCATATCTCCCGAGTGCAGCCCCTTCCCTGTTTGCCCAGCTCCAACAGCACCACTGTTCTTTGTTGCAGTTTCTGCCTCATCACCTGTGAAGCAGCCCAGGCCTATACCTACCCAATGCCAGAGAGGGCAGCTTGTTCCTCTCCCCACACTGTGGTCTGGGACTCATGCTTTCACTGTGGCTCATCACACATCCTTATACAGAAGGTCAGCCTGTCTTTCCAGCAGGACATGGAACCCAGTAGGGGCACTCAGCTACTCAGCCATGGTGTGTGTATGTGTGTGTGTGTGTGTGTGTGAGAGAGAGAGAGAGAGAGAGAGAGAGAGATACTAGTGTTGGAGCCCAGGGCCTCATTCATGCTAGGTAATGCCACATCTCCAGCCTCATAAACCCAGGTAGTTCTTGACCTCAGAGCCCATGATCCTTCTCCTCCAGGATATTGCCTTGGTCAATATGTCCATTTGACTCCTGAAAGGCCAAATGATGAGACCAATGGTGTGCAGCCCTCCACCTGCCTTGTCTGGCCTCTGAGGTTTTCACATCTTTTTTCCCAAAGTAAGAACTACTGCCCTTTTGTTAGCTCCTTGTCAAAGAAGCTGTTTTCTTAAACCTCTTGCTACCCAATTTTGTCACCTTCTTTCATCTCTGTAATCCACTAGCTCCATATCACAGGGCCCAGCAAGGTCAGTTTTCCTAGGGACACTCAGAGAAGCCAGTGTCTAAATTGTCCCTTATAACAGTCATGGTTTATTAATTATGTCCCCATTCCCACTGTTCATGTTGAATAATTTGAACTGATTCTAAACTTACTTTAAAAATGTGTTTCTTTTTCTGAGCTCCAGTTGTGAGCAGGCATTGTGTGGTTTGTACAGATACAATCATCTGCTGTAACGATGCAGCCCAAGATCTGATTGCAGCCATGGTGACCCCTATGAAGAGGCTCTGTCCACCAAAGGATCTTAAGATGCACATTGGGGTTATCAAATTTGGATTTGGGATTCACATACAGATGAACCTTCCAATTACAGATGAGAGTTTGTGAACTAGTGCTGGGATACGATGCCTCATCTTCTCTAGACTTCGGTCCTTAGGTTCCTGATGATCTAGGGCAGGTCTTTTTGCAGGGCACCAAGGGAAGTTGGTTTGCAGCAAGCCAAGTCATGAAGACTCAGCCATTCATGAGCTGCTCCCTGAACCCTCAGTAATGATTGAACCCAGGGGTGCTCTACCTCTGAAACACATTCCCCATCCTTTTTATTTTTTACTTGGAGACAGGGTCTTGCTAAGTTGTCTAGGCCAATTTTGAACTTGGAACCCTCCTGCCTCAGCCCTCTGAGTCACTGGGATTACAGGCATGGACCACGGGGCCTATCTTAGCTGCTTTTTAAAAAACAGCCTGTAATCCTTCCCCTGGCTTCTGGATGGCCTTTGTGGGGCTCTTGGTCCAACTTCTACCAGGAATCAGGTGTACCTGTCCTCTTCCCCAACCACTTTTTATCAAGAAAGTTCTGGCATTTACTAACAACCTTCACTTAAGTCATCCATTACACTTGTGATGTGAATCATGAAGGAAGCCTTTCTGGTGACCAGAACTGAAACGGTTTAAGCAACATGGGATGGGGGTGGGGTGGGAAATGAAATGGCAACATTTTAAGCAACCAAAGATTGAAAACAATCTGTCATTCCATTTCAGAGTAAGATGTTCACCTAGTGCCAAAACACTTTCTCCATCACCCGGAATTCCCTTAATGGAAAACAAGAACTTTCTGTTAGGCAACATAGGTTTCGAAAATTCAAATACTGGTCTGGGGATGTGGCTCAGTGGTAGAGGCCCTGGGCTCATCCCCAGCACCAACTACACACACACACACAGATCAAACATTTACTTACTTTTATTACAGAGTATTTTCAATGTACCACTTCACTGACTCTTCATAACCACTCTGGGAGATAAATATTCCCTCTTACTGATAAGGAAACTGAGGCTTAGAGCAATTCATAATGTCCTCAGGACCACACAGCTAGCTAGAGGCTCTTCCTCCTATTTCCCATCCCCCTTCCCCCTTGAAGTCCCCTTTCTCTATTCCATTTTTCTCCTTTCTATTTTAATGAGATCCCCTGTTTTTTAATTCCTTATTTCTCTCTAGATTCCACATATCAGAGAGAACATTCAACCCTTGACTTTGTGAGTTTTAGCTTATTTCACTCAACATGATGTTCTATAGTACCGTCCATTTACTGACAAATGTCATAATTTCATTCTTCTTTATGGCTGAGTAGAACTCCTTTGTGTATATGGACTACATTTTTCTTTATCCAGTCCTCTATTGAGGGACACCTAGACTGGTTCCATAATTTGGCTATTGTGAATTGTGCTGCTATAAGCATTGATGTGGCTATATCCTTACAGCAAGCTGATTTTAGTTCTTTTGGAGTGAGATAGCTGGGTCATGTGGTGGGTTCATTCCCAGTCTTTTGAGGAATCTTGATAGTGCCTTCCAGAGTGGGTGTACCAATTTGAGCAGGATTTTTTTTTAAATAAAAGCTTTCTTGAGATATAAATTCACATATCACAAAATTCACAATTGTAAAGGTGGTAAGCTTGTAATTCACTAGTTTTTGGTATATTCACAAAGTCGTACAACTGTTGCCACTAATTCCAGAAGTGTCATAATTTCAAAGAAAACCCATACTCATCAGTAGTCTTTCCTTGTTCCCTGCTCACCACAGCCCATGACAACCACTAATCTACTTTCTGTGTCTATGAATTTGCCTGTTCTCCATATCTCATATAAGTGGAATCATATAATACATGACCTTTTGAGACTGGCTTCTTTCACTTAGCATAATAATTTCAAAGTTTGTCCATATTCTACTATGTAATGGCACTTCATTTCCTTTTATGGCTCAATAATATTCTGTTGTGTGGCTATGGCTATCCTCACCTTTGGGATCTCTATCAATTAATAGACATATGAGTACTTTCCATTTTCAGGCTATTATGAATTATGTTTCTATAAACATAGGTGTACAAATATTTCTGCATGTCTCTGCCTTCAGTTATTTGGGCTATGTACCCAGATGGTGGGAATGTGGGTTCTTATAATAATTCTATCTTTAATATTTTAAGAAACCATCATACCGCCTTCCACAGCAGCTGCTTTATTTTACATCCCCACCAGCAATGCCCAAAGGTTCCAATTTCTCCACATCCTTAGCAATGTTTTTTTTTTTTTTCACTTTCTTGCTGTTATTTTGTTTCACAATTTTTAAATTTTGGTGAAATTCAGTTTATCTATTTTATTTTTTTTTGCCTGTATTTCTGATGCCATCTCCAAGAAAGCATTGCCTTATCCAAAGTTAGTGTCTACCTGCATACTTTCTTCTGAGAATTTTATAGTGTTAGTACTTATATTTAGGCATCTGGTCCATTTTAAGTTAATTTCTGTATATGGTGTGAGGTAGGGACCCAACTTCATTATTTTGCACGTGAATATCCATTTGACCCAGCAACATTGGTCAAAAGACTATTCCTCAGTGAATTGTCTTGGCACTTTCATCAAAATCAATTGGCCATAAACATAAGAGTTGATTTCTGGACTCTCACTGTGTGTGATTTATCTCTGTGTCTGTTAGGCAGGACTTTAATCCAAACTTATCTTTGCACATTACACCTATTTTTCCTTCTGCCCCATGAGAGGGTTCAGTCAGAATTTGTCCTGAATCATCCCAGAGGAAGTGTTTTTCCAGAACAATGCCACAGGCTCAATGGTCTCTGAAAATACTGGACAGCTGCATTGCAAGGGAGTTGGAGGCCAAGGTCTTCATCTCAGCCAATAGCCACCAGTCTTCTAGACCTCTGCTACAGCCCTTCCTGTGATCTGCCCTTCCTGTGGTCCCCTCTTTCCCTCTGCTGACTTGGAAGTGGCCTTGCTGGAAGAAGAGAATTCTGGAGTGGGAAAGGTATATACTTCCCTACACACATAGCCAGCCCAAATCCCAAGACCAGGGGTGAGCAGGACCCTTTCCTATCAGGAACTCTGAAGGGTCTGAGGTCTGATTTTCCCCTACACATAAGCTGATAAGTTAGCTTGTTAGTGTTTCATGGATGCTTGCAGAAGACATGAGACTCCTAAGTCAGAGATAAAAGACTATTACTCCTGGCCCAGACAACAGCGTGGGCATCAGCACATTTGTATTAGCTCCCTTTACCCTGAAGTCCCAGGTGACGATGTGAAGGATCCACGTGGATGCTGCACATGTAGATGGGTTGGCTTGTGGTGGAGGAACATCCCATCCATGTCCCAGCACTTTTTGAGCTAGCAGCAAACACTGTAGCACACAGTCAGTGCCCCTTACCACCTCACTGTTGGGAGTGAGCAGCGACACGTTGGTCATGCCATGGATCCTTAGTCATCAGTTTGACCAACTATAGGGAACTCTCAGTGTCAGGAGAGGGATGAGCCAGGTGGTCTGGCACACTGAGCAAGTATGTGCAGGGGTGATCAGGGTCAAGACGTTTGCCTGCTTCACTTATCACAAAATTCAGGGTGTGCCTACAAATGGGATCTTCAGAGAAGAGATGTGGCTTGCTCAGGGCCACACAGGAAAAGCCACATCTGGAACCCAGACTTCCCACCTCCGGGCCGGGTGCTTTTCCCACCACTCTCTGTCCTTGGAGGTATCTTAGGACACCTGGAATGTTGGCAGCAGACAGGATTCACCAAGAAGAAGCGGGGCAGGCAGCGGTGGAGGAGCCCGAGTCCACAGCTCTGTTCTCTGTCAACCTCTTAGCGTAGGTTGCATGGCAGGAGGGACCAAGAGTGTCGTATTTGGTGGCAGAAATGAGACTTTGGAGGCTGATGATTTAATCACCGTAGCTGCAGTGGGTCTGTGAGTGGACTATGGTTTGTCTAGTTGAAGAACATACAGGAAGGGGTGGGTGAGGGGAAGGTGGGTCTGTGAAGTTTCTTGCTGAAGAAAAACTTCAGGGTCCAGGCCCCGCCCTCTTGTTCCCCTGGCTGCTTTGCCACTTCTCACAAGCCCAGCCCCTTCCTCCAGACACCAGGTCCCTGCTTCTTCCGAGAAGCCTTCCCAAGCCTCCCTAGGAAAGTCAGGGCCCCTCCCTGCGTGCTCCCCTGCCACCCACCGCCCCTGACTGTAACTCCCCGAGGTCCAGAACTCGCTCTCTGGGTAAATGGCCTTTGCCGGCCCTCCTTGTTGGGTCAAGATGGTGTCACTTCTTTCATCCAGCCTCTCACCCGTGGGCTTCTCAGGCACACTCGCTCCTGGCCAGCTCAGAGTCTGTGCTGCTGTTGGCCTGGAAGCAGGGGGCAGTGGCGTGAGGCTGGAGCCTTGCAGGCCCGGAGGGGTTCAGAAAGGCTGGGGGAGCTACACTGGAAACACGAGCGGGTCCGGGGTCTCCTGCACGGCGGGCCACGGTCAGGGTCCTCGCTGAACGCTCTTCTGTCTCTCCCCCGCCCAGCTCTTCCCCGCCCCGCTGCAGATCCTCTCCAGGAAGATCGTGCGGTCCAAGATGAACAGCACCCTGGTTGGGGTGTTCACCATCACCCTGGTGTTCCTCTCGGCTTTTGTCAACCTGGTGGGTGGCTTCACGTCCTCTCAGTGCCTCCCCAGCCCCGTGGGGTCAAACCCAGTGCAGCCTGTGCCCAACAGCATGGCCTGGGAGAGCTTTCACCCAGAAACCCCTATTCGTGTCTCACTCCAGGTCTGGGATCAGATTTGGCTCTTAAATTAGCCCCCATGCGGGCTTTTAGTTCCTTGCTCTCAAGGTGGAAGAGCACAGGGAACGTCCCCAAGGCAGACTTAGGGCCCCACCTCGGGAAGGGATACTGGCCACGCCCTCCTACCCAAGGAGCTGGACAGACCTGCCAGGTCCGCCCGCGGCCTCTAACTGAGAGGATGGCTCCTGCTATGTCCCCAGTCCGAGGGAGGCTGTGACTGAGACAGAGGGTGGAGGGTGCCCTTGGCCCTGGGGGCTGACCGCTCCTCACTGCCCTGTGCCCCGCCCAGTTCATGTGTAACTCCAAGGACCTGGTGGGCTGCCTGGCGGAGGAGCACAACATCAGTGTGAGCCAGGTCAACGCGTGCCATGTGCTGGAGTCAGCCTTCAACTACAGCCTGGGCGATGAGCACGGCTTCTGCGGCAGCCACTGGCCCAACTGCAACTTTCCCGAGGTACTGGGCCTGCAGGGCTGGGTACTGGGCCTACGTGGCTGGGCCGGGAGCAGATGCAGCTGCTCTTGCCCTACCCCACTCTGCTCCTGGGGAAGCCCTGGACAGTCTGAGGGAAGGTCAGGGCCCACCAGCTCACTGCTATTCTGGAGACTGCCTTCGCTCGGTGTCATCAATACCATGTGCCCAACACTGGTGAACAAGTGCAGCCTCCTCACTACAGCTGCAGCCAAACTAACTTAGCTTTTGTTCATAGCATGCTTACCATGGGCCAGGTGCTGTGTTAGGTGCTTTACATACATCCACTCAGTAAATCCTCACAGCCCTATGACTTAGGTACTATATTAGCTCTTTTGTAGAGATGAAGAACCCCATGGCCAGGGGGGTTAAGTTACTTGCCCAAGACTACGCCGTGAGTAGGCAGTAGAGTCAAAGCTCTCATACAAGTTGTCTGATGCTAGAGTTCATGCTCCTGAGAATAAAATTTTCTGGAGCCTCTACCTGATCCCCTAGCTGGAGGGTAAGTGAACTTTGAGAGGAGCAAAGAGAACCCAATCCCAAGCCACTACCATAAACCACTCGTTCAGAGCGTGCAACAGCGGTTTTCAGTGTATTCACAAGTATGGGTGTAGCCATCCTCCTTGAGAACACTTTCACCACTCCCAAGAGAAATTTTGTACTTACAGGCATCTGGATTTAAAAAGTAACACCAGGAATCTTACTGAGAGGATGGCATGCACTGAGCACCAGGACGCACGCAGGGCTCTGATGGCGTTGCTGCACTTCTCTGCAAGCACTTTTCCCCAAGCAGCAGGGCCAGGCTTCCTGCCTGTCTGGAAGCGTTTGTTCTATGCAGTGGCCATGGCCACCTCCCAGCTCCCTGCAGGGCACTCACAGGAAACCTGTAAGGCAGTGACAGAGATCTTGCTTTCCTGCTTTCATCCAATTCCCAAAGGGCCCAGAACTGCAGCAGAGGGGCACAGGGGCTGTCACAGTGCTGGCCTCCTTCCCCAGCCCTGAAAAGGAGCTGGGCCATCTCCTTGTTGGACTGTTGAGTCAAGGAAAGCCCAGTGAGGAGCAGGGCTCAGCTGATGGCCACCCAGACAGGCTCTTCTTCCTGTCCTGGACCCGAGACCAGCTCTCCCTCCCCTCTGCGGCCACGCTGGGCAGTCAGCCAGGCCTCCCCTCCTGGGCTCCGTTCCCTCTCACGTCTGGCTGGGAGCCCAGGGAAGCAGCGTTTGTGCTTCCTGAGGAGCAGAGGTTGCATTGGCCGGTTTGCCACTAAGTGGTCAGAGAAGCTGGGAATGGGGTGGGGGATGCATTGGTGTCCCAGCTCCTCCTCGTTGGAGATGGTCGGTCCCAGTCTTCAGCTGTCTCTAGCCTGCTCTGTTTCAGGCCTGTGGCCCACACCTCACCAGTGTTCCTGGGCCAGTCAGCCACTCCTCACAGGCCCTTCGGGTTGGTGGTGGGGCTGCATTAAGCCTTGGCCTCCTGGTGCCCAGGACCCGGCTTCTGAATGGGAGTTCAGGCTGGCTGGAGAGGGCCCCTTTTTCCTCCCCCCAAGCTGGAATGCTGGGCCTAATTGTCTGGACTTGTTCTCCTACTGTCTTCTCTGCCCAGTTCTTGGCGGTGACTTGAGGCTACCCTGTCCCAGCTTATCACCAAGGGACCCTCAACAGTGCCTCATTTAGCTCCTGAAAGCCTGGGGAGGCAGAGGGCCCAGCCTGGGCTACGCCCACTGCCAGCCACCCCCATTTGGCCCCCAGCCCAAGGCAGAGGCAGTGTGGAAATAGGAAGAGTCTGGAAGCCTGACTCAAAAATAATAGTGCTAAATTTAAAAGAAAGAACAGGATAGTAGATGCTGACATGGCTAGGAGTCACATCCCGGGACCACAGGAGGAGGGGGCTGCTGAGATCAGCTGGTTTGCCCCTCGGTTGTTTAAGAAGGAAATCAGCTCAAAGACAAGGAGGGACTTCAGCAGGATAAATAGTACAGGGCGCCATGCCTCCTCCCAAGTCACTAGGGCCAATATATTTTAGACCACAAATTTTTTCAGATTTAAAAAGGCTGCCTCATGTGACCAGGAGCCTGGGGTAAACCCTGATGGTGAAACACAACCATACTTCAGCGGCCAAGTGTGCCAACAGTCACAGGAAGCTGGATGCCGATGGTGATTGGCACCGCACCAGTTAGGTTGGGTTTGGCCGGCAAATCAGGCAATTCAGGTGTTGCCCTCCGGGTTGTGAGACACTTCCCTTTTTCCTGCTGTGGATTTCAGAGCTGCAGGGAACCTGTGCTCCTCACAGTTATCGAAGGTCCCAGACATAGCCCCAAGAGGCTTCCTCTCACCAGGCACAGGGAGCCCTAGATGGGGAAACCGAGGCTTAGAGGGGTTGATTACATGGTCCAAGGTGCACAGCCAGTCTGTGGTGGATCAGGGATGAGCCCAGGCGAGCCTGAGTCTGGAATCGGGCGCTAACACTTTACTCGGCCCTGGGCAGGTGGGCAGAAGCCTTCCCAAACGTTGCTCAGGCTGGGCGGGACGGGGCGGGGCCGGCCGGGGCTGGGGCGGGGCCTGGGCGGGGCCGCGAGCTGATGATGCCCGCCCTCTCTCGCAGTACTTCACCTACAGCGTGCTGCTCAGCCTGCTGGCCTGCTCCGTGTTCCTGCAGATCAGCTGCATCGGCAAGCTGGCGCTCATGCTGTCCATCGAGCTCATCTATGTGCTCATCGTCGAGGTGCCCGGTGTCACACTCTTTGACAATGCCGACCTGCTGGTCACCGCCAACGCCATGTATGTGGCACCTCATTCACCGCCCACCGTGTTCGGGCCCCCTCAGGGAGGCAGGAAGTGCAGAAGGCTGGGGTCTGGCACCGCAGGGACACTGCAAGGAGAGTATCTAGCTCCTGAGCACTGCTGTGTCAGGCTGTCTGGCCACAGTCCGCCTGGTCATCCAGTGACAGATGTCAGCTTTCCAAGGGAGACTACTCCATGAAGGGAAAGGCCTCTGGCTTTGGGTGGAACTGAGTTTGGACCTCAGCAGCAGATTCACATTGGGTTATTTTCCTGAAATACATTTTTTTCCCCAGTAAAATGGGAATGATAGTCATAGTAGCAAAATATCTACGAAGTGCCTGGTATGTACTATGCTTTTCTTCCCATAACCACCTCTGAACACACACCAAGTAGTGTGAAAAAATGGGACGAGTCTGTGTCTCTTGAGGAAACACAGCACACTGCACTTTCTCTAAGAGGAAGGGGTCCAGCCAGACATCCATCCATCTGCTCGCCCATTTATTCATTCAGAAATGTGTATTGAGGGCCTACCGGCTGCAGACACTGAGCCAGGCAGTGGAGGTACAATTAGGATAGGACCAAGAACCCCCACAGAAGTGCCCCTTCTTGTGAAAGGAGACCCCTGAGAAAAATAAATTGTAGTGAAGAATCTAAGTCAGATTCAAGCAAGAACTTCCCTGTGGTTGTGTGGGGCTATGGGCAGATGACAGCAAGATGCTATGCCTTCAGGAACTGGGCAGGCTGCAAGTGTGGGGGAGGGAGGGAGTGCAGATCCTTTCTACCCTGGGGTCAGGACTAGAGCTGGCTCTTTTGGCTGCTTTGTTTCCTGCTCTTCCACTCCCAGCCTCTCCTCTCCTCTCCCACTGCTGAGGTTGACAGCAGAGACTGGAGATCATTGCTCTGTTGGGAGACCCTCGTTTGGCTCTAGGGCAGCTCTATTCAATAGACAAATAATACAAGCCACAAATGTAATTTAAAATTTTCTAGTAGCTATATGAAAAAAAGCAAAAGATACAATTTAAGAGCACTTTATTTAGCCAATAAACCTAAAATATGGTCATTTTAACATATCATCAATTAAAAAAGTATTAGAGAAATACTTTACCTTTCTTTCCACGCTATTCACAACCTGGTGTATATTTTCACTCGCAGTACAGTTTAACTTGTGCTAGTCCCATTTCAAGGCTCAGTAGACACAGTGGCCAGCAGCTGCCACACGGGACAGTACAGGTATAGGATTCCACCCCCCAGTTCCCTCTGGATGTCAGCCCAGGGCTGGGGCAGACAGGCGGACAGGTGTGTCCAGGTGATAGGCAGGGTGGGGGAGGACAGACAGGGTAAGAGCTGGTGATTTGTGATCACAGTGACCAGATGCTGGTTGAGGCTGGCCTTTGCATAAGCCTCCCAGCTGGAATGCCCCTGAGTGCTGGGGTAGGGGACAAAGGAGCAGCAGAGCAGGACTGGGGGACAGAGATTGGTACTGGGCAGAAGAGCACGGCGTGGGGGAAGGCAACAGGGTGGGCCATAGGAAGATGGGACTGGAGGCTGCCTTACACCAAAAAAAGAGATCTGAACTGTCTCCCCCGACTTCCCTTCGCAGAGACTTGAGCAACAACGGGACCTCCCAGTGGTGAGTTAACGCCCCACTTTGACAGGCCCTCCATGCCCTTGGCACAGAGCAGCAGAGAAGGCAACTGAGACCCAGGTGGGAGGGGCCTTGGCAACAAGGCTGGTGGTGGAGGAGGCTGGAGTGAGCAGGGCGGCCCCTGCGGGGAGCAGGCAGCCCAGGTGGGATAGACACCCTTCTTTACTTACCATTCTGGTGACCAATAGCCTCAGTGGCCAGGGTTATCAGGGCCTCAGGCCTCATTTTAAAGCATCTAGCCTCAGGCTCTTCCCCAGGAGCAGGAACTGGGCCTGCTTTCCTCTATGCAGAGCCAAGGCTCCGGGCTGCTGGAGGGAGGCTCTGGGTGGTATTCGGCCTCTGGCTCTGCACTGGTGCAAGGAGCAGTGTTTGGAATGGCAGCTTTTGTTTGGTATATTTGTCAATGTTAACAGAAATATAATTAGAAACAGTAGCCACCAGTTTGCCGAATCCCAGTGTGTCAGGTACTGCAGTGAGACCTCCTGTACAGAATCTTCAGTCCTTCCCACAGCCCTGCAGTGTGGATATTCTTTTCCCATGTTACAGATGAGGAAACTTAAGAGTCTGCCTAAGGTACCCCAGCGACAGGGTCAGCAGGTGCTGCCTGGCTCCCTTGTTCCTGTGCACACAGTCCTGCCTTGTCCTCTGAGAAAGACCTGGCATCCACACTGCCTTGTGAAAGGGCTGAGTTCATCTCCTGAGGTGACCAGGGGGCACCTGAGTGATGGGGGCATAAGGTGCCAGGAGAGGAGTTACAGCTGCCTGAGCTGCAGGAAGGCTTCCCAGAGGAGGTTGACTCAGGCAGAGTTTGAGTGGCAGCTATACTGGAAGAAGAAAAAGGCCTGGGGGCGGGGGTCTTCGGAGCCTGCGTGAGTGCCAGGGTGGCCTCAGGCCTGTTTACCTCACTCTTGCAGCCCTGAGCATGCGACCAAGGTGGCCCTGAAGGTGGTGACGCCCATCATTATTTCAGTCTTCGTGCTGGCCCTGTACCTGCACGCCCAGCAGGTGGAGTCCACTGCCCGCCTTGACTTCCTCTGGAAACTGCAGGTGAATGGCCCTGGGGCTACAGCTGGGTGGGGAGGCAGCTGGACCTCACGGCACTCACTGGGCTGGCCTGGACCTTCATCCTACACTGACAAGGTGTACTCTTGGGTCTCACCCCAAATGACCACTGCCCCACATCCAAGGATCTGCTGCTTGCTTTCCAGGGTTGAGAGGCAAAGTCCTGGAGCATATTCTAGATGAACCCACCCCAATAATACAGGGACTCTGAGCCCAGGAGGTGCGCTTGGAGTCAGCACACACTGCCGGAGCAGTTCCTGTGCATGTCTGCAGCAGGGACACTGGGGGTGGGGCAGTCAGCTTGTAGGGGGAGCAGCAAGGTGTCCAGGCATGAGAGGAGGAGGAGCAGAAGGTGAGGAGGGTGGGAGCTGGCAGGATCCTGGGCTGGTGGGGGCTGCCACCAGAGGCTTCTGTGCAGGCTTGATATGACCACAGCTGGGCATGAAGGCTTCTCCAGAGGAGGAAGAGCCAAAGGAATCAATAGGAAGCCCAGCTGGACTCAGGGGAGGGTGGTGGGGTGGCCAGGGCCATGGCTCTGACCTGTGTTGGTTGCATTGAAAGCAGAAATGCAACCGGTGCTTGACTCTCCAGGCTGTGACCCTGCTCCCTGAGGACAGTGTCCACCTGCAGGATGGTATGCCAAAGGGCCAGATGAAGGTGGTGCTCTTGGTAGCCACAGTCTTAAGTCCCTCGGTTCCCTGATGAGCCACCCCAGAGTCTCCAGGAGAGGGCGTTCTAGGGCACTCACAAAACAATGCCAGCTTCTTTGTGGGCCCTTTGAATCAAACCCCTGGCAAGGTCTGACCCATCTCCAGACCACATCAGTTTACTCAGGGCTTGCTTAGAACTCCTCCACCCACACCGCTCACTGTCATGGAAGTTGAAGTCTTTGGCTGGGGGCAGGAGGCTTTTGGTTGGGTGTCAAGTGCCGATGGGGCATGTTGTTGTCCCTTCTATTGGGTATGTTGCATGCAGCATAGTTTTATCTCCAAGGTATGCGGTGAGGAGCCCTGACGCTGGGGCACCCATGAATATTGCCACAAGTGTCCCATGTGGAATGTCCCTCCTGAAGCTCTGTGTGTCTGCCCTTCTCAGACCTCTCTCCCTTCTCCCACACCCCTCCTCTTTGGGGAAGTCCGTGGGTGGGTGGTTGGGGGGCCTCCAGCACTCTCCTGAGGGCTGATCAGGCTCAGTGGGGCCTAAAGCCAATGCTCCTCTTCTCTGCTCACATGTACCGCCCCCATGAAACCCCACCCAAGATGGTTGCTCCTGTGCCTCACAGTTGTTTAACAGAGACCTTGGGAAGAGTGATCCTGCCCCCTGGCCCTGCTGGGTCCTCAGTCCCTTTAGCCCTACCTTGGAGTGTCTCTGTCCAACTCCTGAGTATGGGGTTCAACCAGGCTGCACCCACACCTGGTTCTCCCTTGTGCCCAACCGCAGCTGCTGTCTCAGCCCTCCCAGCACATGGAAGCCTGGCAACTGGGAGGCCAGGCGCTGCCTGCCCAGGGCCTGCCAGCATTCAGCCCAGTTCTGACCCACCAGACTGGAGCAGCTGAAAGGGCTATGCAGGGGACAGGAGGAACACTCCCTTCCATCCCCTTGGTTTGAGGCTGCACCAGGCCCTGACATTCCCCATGCTCCGAGGCCCCGCTCCAAAGCCCCAAGGGCGCTTGTGTTAGCCTGGCCCCAGAAACCTCTGACTTTCCCTCCCATACCTTTCCTCCCATCCTTCATCCTCAGGCCCCGAGCTCATCTCCATCTTTTTATTGTAAGTTTTAAAAAAAATTAAACCTGCAGAAGTTTTAGAACAACATAAAGAACTTCAATAGTCTCTTCACTGTTTTCGTTTTATTGCCCCATCCGCCCCCTGTACGTATGTATATTTTTTCTTTTTCTTCCTGACATGATACGTCCATCACCCTTGGATCCTTCCAAGGTCTTCCTTCCAAGAATGAGGATACTGCCTCCATCCCTTATCCCTCAGCTTCCCCTTCAGGGAGTCAGCAGTGGAAACAGGCCCAGTTCACCTCGTGCAGCTGTACTGATTCTGGCCTAGAATCCTCTCCAGGAGTACTCTGCATTTAGTTGTCTCTTCCTTCTCTCCATGTTTCTCAGTCCTTGCCATTTTAGAGATCTTGTACTCTGTGTCCTTCAGACCCACACCTTCCTGAAGGAGACCCAGGGCAGTGGTGCTGGGCGCATCTGGGGCATCACACAGGGGACTCCCCATGCTGACCTGTCCCACCACTGATGGTGCTGACCCTGACCGCAGCTCTAGTTGCTGCCAGCCACATTTCTCCACTGTCAAGCCCCCTTTCCTTCCTTCCTTCCTTCCTTCCTTCCTTCCCTTCCAAGCTCCCTTTCTCTCCTTCATGTTTTCTTGTTATTTTGTGGAAAAATACTCTGGCTATTACAACAATCTTGTGATCCTCAGCAAAGCTCCATCCAGCAGCTTTTGCATCCATTGATGACTCCTGCCTCTCTCAGCCTCACCGTGGAGGTGCCACCGGTGATGCTGAGGTTGGGTGTCAAGTGCTGATGGGGCATGTGGTTGTCCCTTCTGTTGGGTATGTTGCATGCAGTGTAGCTTTTATCTCCAAGGTATGTGGTCCTTAGGGAGATCCCTCCATTCACTGGCCCATTCATTCACTTATTTATGTCAGTGCAGACACACAGACACCTGTTTAGTCCAGTGGGTTAAAATCTGCCACTTGGTTTACCGCCCTAGGTTTGGCTAGTGTGCATTTCGTCAAGCTGACTTCCTTGTCATTTGAACTGCCACTAGCACTCTTTGGGCATCTCCTGACTTCTTGGCACAATGAGATGTCTCAAGCTTACCTGACATTTTTCCTGTTCCAGCCCAGGAATCAGCAATTTCTTCAAAGAGCCCTTGCTCTTAGTGGAGAGTGGTATTTAGAAACCAAGAACTAAGTGCTTGGTGGGCTTACTACTTCCAGATCTGTGTCAGTTTTCTATTGCTGTGACAAAATCTCCCAGAAAATCAACTTAAAGGAGGAAACATTTATTTTGGCTCATGGTTGCAGAGATTTTAGTCCATGGTTCTTGGCCCCATCGCTTTGGGCCTGTGGCGAGGCAGAACCTCATAGCTGGGAACACGTGGTAGAGCAAGTTCACCTCATGGCAACCAGGAAGCAGAGAAAGAGGAGAAGGGCCCAGGGACAAGACACCACTGTGAAGGTTTCCTTACATTAGGCCCTGCCTCCCAAACTTTCCACCATCTCCCAGAAGCACCACCAGCTGGGGACCAAGCCTTCAACACATGATCCTTTGGTGGGGATTCCAGATCCAAACTATAACAGGTTCATCTCCAGGGCCAAAGCTGGGAAACACATGTAGTTGATGTAAACACGCAGAAATGCAGGTTGCACGCATACGTACCACACCAGCATCTGTCTGTGTACGTAGATTTATAGAAACCATTACTCACACCAGCTCTTCCATTCGAGACCTGTGCCTCAGGCTTCTTTGTAGCTTGCCCTATGCCAGAGAGAAACCCTCCCAAATCACTCTCCTAAAGTGATCTATTCACCCAGTGGCCCTGGCCTCCCAACCCCACAGCCTCTTGCTGATCCTCCCCCCTCTCTTCTTGGCCCTTTTGCCTCTTTGTACACTGGGGCCCCTCCCTCTGTCACTTTGCTTTCTCAGGCCCTGACGACCCTGTGCTAGGAGGGAAGCCACTGACTCAGCCTGTAGCAAGCCTGTGTCAGCCCTGTCCACAGAAGCTCCCCAACTGGCAGGTCCCTCCAGCTCCCATTCTTTTCCTGGGCATTTTGCAACTTGGAGGACAACATACAGCAGTAAACAGAAACCTGACAGCAGGCCTTAGGAAGGGGGGTAATTGTCACCATATGCTCCCCAGGCTCGCCCAGCAGCCCCTTTACTGTTCCACCTGTGGTGTGTGCTGATAGAGGAGGGGCCGCCCAGGAACATGCCCTCTCACACAGCGCCCCCTCATGGCCTAACCATTGTCTTGATTCCCCACCTTTACCTGCTCCTCCAGTATGGGTCTCCTAGGACTATCAAGAGGCTGTGGTACTCCACTATCCCTTTACCTGGAGGGTGAGTGACCACAAACTCCAACTGTACAGATCCACGACCAAAACTGGGGGGAAACCAAAGTTAAAGGGGATGTTTCCTTCCTGCCCTGGCTGACACCTGGTGGCACCTGTCCCTCCTGGCTGCATCTGGAACTGGAGGCTGTTCTCATAGGAATGAGATGGGCAGGACTCTGGGCCATTTCCCCGCCGTGACCAGTGGGTTGAAGTCACCCTTGCAAGATGCTTTTCTGAGTGCATTCTTTGATTTTAAGAGGAAAAATGAAGGGTAAAGAGGCCTCAGGGAGTCAGCAGCCTATTTGGGGTGCGGTTTTTGGACTCTCCCTTTCCTCTGGAGTCTAGTGCCAGGCTTGGGCAGACAGGAGACTTTCAGCTCCTCCTCTGGGACCTGCATCTGCTCTGCGCTTCCCTCCTCTGGGACCAACTCCCTGATGTGCGTCACTTTCCAAGAAGTAGACCGTTTCTTCTGGTGGCTGACATAATGCTCTTTAGAGAACACTTGGAAACAGAGAGACCGCAGAAACGGCCGGCACCTGGTGTTGGTGCGATTCCTGTCTCATTCTAAGTAGGGCTGTAGCCCCCCACCACCCACTGACCTAGTCCTCTGTCCCCAGGCCACAGAGGAGAAGGAGGAGATGGAGGAGCTGCAGGCCTACAACCGGCGGCTGCTGCACAACATCCTGCCCAAGGATGTGGCCGCCCACTTCCTGGCCCGGGAGCGCCGCAATGACGAGCTCTACTACCAGTCCTGCGAGTGCGTGGCCGTCATGTTCGCCTCCATCGCCAACTTCTCGGAGTTCTACGTGGAGCTGGAGGCCAACAACGAGGGCGTCGAGTGCCTGCGGCTGCTCAACGAGATCATCGCCGACTTTGACGAGGTGCTTCTGGGAGTCCTCTGAGTCCCCAGGGCTCTCCCCTCCATGTGGGTGTGAGCGGTGTGACAGGAGCCCTGATGGCAAGAGCCTGAAGGTGTCCCAGGGCTGTTCTGTCTCAGGCACCTTGTCACAGGTTCCAGATGAGAAAACAGAGGCCCACAGACCTTGTGTGTCTTGCCTAAGGTCAAGGCCTCTAAGGGCCAGAGCTGGGGTTTTGGCCCAGGCTATATGAACTGGAACCTTCAGGGTCCCCGTGCCCAGGACAGCCAGAGCTTTGAAAGAATCAGAGGAAGGAGGAGCCACTGGGTGAAGGAAGAGGGCAGGGTAAAGACGCAAGGCCCAGGGCAGGGGAGGTGGCAGCCAGACTTTGCTTCTTCATTTCTCATTTCTCGAGCTTGGTGAGCATCCACCAAGGGTAGCTGAGACAGCCTCGATCCTGTTGGGAGTCTGGGAGGCACAGTGCAGCAGGGATGCCCAGGCTGGACACAGGGCACAGGAAGAGCTGGGTCCTGGCAGTGTTGGAAGAAGCCCACAAGGGTCCTGGGGCAGCGGGCTAGATGAAGGGCTCCGGGGAGGCCTCCAGCAGAAGGACATGGGAAAAGGATGTCTTGCTAGTCAGAGATGAGGAGGGTTCCCTAAGTGAGGGGGTGAGGTCCTATGAAGGGGCTCCAGCCGTCCAGCCCGTTGGGGGCATGAGACCCAGTGGCAACCAGTGCCCTTGTCCTCAGGAGCTCTTGGTGTGGGGTTGGGTGAGTAGGTCACAGTCACTGGACAGCAGTTGAGAACAGAGGAGGCCTGTTCTGGAGGACGGGGAGGCCTCACATTGAGCCTTTTCCCTTACCAAAGAGGGGACCCTGAGGGGCCAAGCTGCTATACTCCCATGGTCCTCCTCTGCCCCTCCCTATAGAGCTCAGTGCCCTGGACTTGACCCAAGGTTGGTTTCCTTCTGTGCAGATTATCAGCGAGGACCGTTTCAGGCAGCTAGAAAAGATCAAGACCATCGGCAGCACCTACATGGCCGCCTCCGGCCTCAACGACTCCACCTACGACAAGGTGGGCAAGACGCACATCAAAGCCCTGGCCGACTTCGCCATGAAGCTGATGGACCAAATGAAGTACATCAATGAGCACTCCTTCAACAACTTCCAGATGAAGATTGGTGAGCAAGGAGGGCTTGCAGGGACCCTCTCCTCAAATCCCACATTTATTACAATCCAGTGGTAGAAGGTGACAGGCAGCCAATTGGGGTGGCCAGGGGTGGGGAGCTGATCACTCAGCCTGGCAGTGCTCACATGTTGGCCTGCGTGTGATGAGGCACTTTACCCAAGCATTGGGAAGGCACGATTGGACCCAGGTTGTGCCTGCCCAAAGGCTTTTGGGGAATGCTCTGTTCTGGGGGCTCCAGGGCCTGGTAGTAGCTTTGGGCAGATGGCAGGGCCATTTATTTCCAGAAAAACGGATGTAATCAACAGTAGTTTTATTAAAAAGTATTTCAAATTCATTGAGTAAAAATGAAAACTAGTAAAATCAAATACTTGATACATTTTAAATAAAAATGTATGAACATAAGATATAAGTTATTACATTTGCAAATTTATGAAAATACTGAACATATTTTCTGCAAAATTGTTAGCAAAATAAAATGAGTAAAGTGAAGTTTATAGGCAGTGGTGCATGCCTGTAATCCCAGTGACTCGGGAGGCTGAGGTAGGAGGATTGAAAGTTTGAGACTAGCCTCAGCAACTTAGGCCCTATCTCAAAATAAAAAATAAAAAGAGTTGGGGATGTGGCTTAGTGGTAAAGTTCCTCTGGGTTCAATTCCCCAGCACCAAAAAACAAACGACAAAAAAATATGAAAAAAAAATCATGTAATATTGACAATAAACCAATTCTATTTCAACATTTTAAAAAACAGAAGTCTTAAAAAAAGTAAAAAAAAAAAAACTGGGTCAGTAGGTTATTGGACAGAATATCTTTATTTTATTTATTTATTTTTTATGTGGTGTTGAGGATTGAACCCAGGGCCTCGCACGTGCTAGGTGAGCACTCTACCACTGAACAACCCCAGCCCCCTCAGTAGGTTATTGTTGAGTTTCAGGCAGTGAGGCAATCTTTTCTAGGTCAAGGTGTCAAAACTTTTCAACTCCACTCAACTGGGGGTCGTGGTGAGGGTATGTAATGATCAGCCCTGTGTCTTACCTGCACTTGTACTTGGCTGATGGCTGAGAGAGCTTCACAGACACCTGGATGGTGCACAGAGGCAGTAGTAGGGACTCTGCTAAGGATGGTCAGGGGTTCAGAGAAGAGAAGCCCTGGGTCAGCTTCAAAATAGGACCATATTCTACATATTTGTTCAAAAAATCTTTGAACCCAAAACAGGATTTTTAAAAATGTTTAATTTTGTTTTTATTACCTCAACCTTTTGACAACTTTCAACTTTCAGAATTGAAAGAACAGTACAGTGAAAACCCAGCTACATCTCACATACCTACCCAGCCCCACCCCGCTCCATCCACAAAATGATCTCCAAATTACAGTTCTGGATGAGTTGTTCCATAAAGCTCAAGGCATTTTTGCAGTTTGTTTGTCCTTAGAACATATTTTTATTTTATTTTTGTTGTACTGGGGATTGAGCCCAGGGCTTTGCACAAGCTGGGCAAGCACCCTACACTGAACTATATCCCCAGCTCATTTTATCTTTTATTTTGAGACAGGTCTCATGAGGTTTCCCAAGTTGGCCTTGAATTTGCCATTCTTCTGCCTCAGGCTCTGGGTTAGGAGGGATTACAGGTGTACAACTCACATCCAGCTCTGGGAGTATATCTTACCAAGGATGTACAGTCTGACAGAGTGCAAGTTATTTTTGCAATAGAAACTTTGTCAAGTGTTGTCCTCTTCCTCCTCTTGAGATCTGTGGAGGCAGGAAATGCTTTCTGAAAGAGCAGACCTCAGTTCTATTCAGAGTTTTCGTGCATTATCAAATCCCTGGGAATGTCTCACACCATAAATGATTCAGAGTTCAAATTTTTAAAAAAGTAAAAGTAATTCACCAAAGAAAATACTGGCATTTCAATTCTAAAAATTAGCACATTAAACTGAAACGTTAGTTTACCGAAAACCAATATTATGATCATGAGTGTCCTCAGGAGACCTTTGTTCTGGCCTGAGTGTCAGGAATTGTGCTGTTCTTGAGGGAGCTGTTTATTGTGTCTTGTGGGCACAGGGCTTTGTGACTTGGCCAGGTTTCCATTTTTCTTTGGCTGCTAGAAAGGCCAGACAGAGCCAGCTGGGGATCTTCTTTAACTAACGTGAGGCCTGTGTTTGTTTTTGTATTAATGTTATTCTTGGTTTCATGTAATGTTACTGTTCTCATTTGCCTCTCACCACATCTTATCCACCTACAGTTTTGTATTTTTCTCCTGGTGTGTATTTTTGTAAACTGGAGATTGAGTGATAGCATCAACCAAGCGATAGCTAAGGAGCCTTGAGGGGTAGATCCATTCATACGAACTCAGGGGCACCTTAGTTGGCGGGCGTGGCCTTTGGAGCTCTGTGTGACCAATGAGGTGGACAGTTGAACCTGGTAACAGAAGGCAAGGCAGAAAGCTTCATGTGGCCATGATACGACATGGAGAGAGAGGAGACCCAGGCAGGGTTAGGAGCCAGGTCTTAAGAATGAGAACAGAAGGAAACAGAAATAGGAGTGAGAAAGAGGGAAGGGGCACATTCTGGGAGTCAATGGTGAACACCTCAAAGCTACCCAGAAAGGGAAGATTAAGAAAAGGCAGTTGGAGGGGCTGGGGTTGTGGCTCAGTGGTAGAGCGCTTGCCTAGCACGTGCAAGGCTCTATAAGGTTCGATCCTCAACACCACATAAAAATAAATAAATAAAATAAAGATATTTTTTTAAAAGGCAGTTGGATTATGCAAGAGGTCACTGGAGACCCTGAAGAGGGCACTCCTGGCAGTGGACTTACAGAAACTGAGCATCACCTGGTGGTGAGGACACAGGAGCCCTGAAGTATGCCTGGGTTCCTGGGGTCTTGGATTAACACGCACTTGATAGAGCAGAGAAGTGGGAGACTGCAGGGGGAAGCTGGCATCAGGCCAGGAGGCAGAGGGAGAACCTGCAATGTGCAGAGAGCGAGAGGGACGCCAGCGAGGACTAGCAAAGCAAGTGTCAGTCTTAACCTGACGAACGTGGCTGATGTCCCCTGCAGGGCTCAACATCGGCCCTGTGGTGGCTGGGGTGATTGGAGCTCGCAAGCCTCAGTATGACATCTGGGGAAATACAGTGAACGTGGCCAGCCGCATGGACAGCACTGGCGTGCCTGACCGCATCCAGGTGAGTATGAGAGCATCCACTGTCCAGGTTACCCACCAGGAGGCCTCTGTATGCTGCTAAAAGTTCTTCAGGGAAGGCTGCCCACAGCTCCCAGTCAGAATTTCTGATCCAAATCCAAGGGTGATGGGGCAGTTGGTGCTGTCGTCACGGAAACTTGGAGAACACGATTGTGTTTTTGGCCCTCAGCACCTTGGACAGATCTTCGGGTTGTGCAGAGCCCTCTGCTGGGCACGGAAGGAATCGGGTAGGCAGAAGCAGGGCAGTGGCTGTGATGACAAACTGAGTGTTCATGGGGAGCCCAGGACCTTCCCAGCCAGTCACAGAGTACATACACCAAGACACCTGCAGGGAGTAGAGTCTTGCCCGTGCGGCTCGCTCTTAGGTTTGGTTCAGGAGAACCAGGGAAGGCTGCTGAGCCCTAGGATGGCGCCGTCATCAGTTGCAGCAGCCGGTGGCCTGGCCAGAGGCCCAGGGACTTTTTCCTTTCTGTCCTTTGCGAGCTGGCACTTGTGATCCCCAGGCCTGCCGGTCTTCAGCTGCTTTCCTTTTTCTCCCCCTCAGGATTTCCATGGTTTGCTTCAATCTGAAAAAATGGCCTGAACTGTGCTCTCATCCTGTGTGGCCCTCTTGCATGGTTCCCTGCAAGGATGTGGGAAGTCAGCTTCCTGGCCTCAGTTTTCTCAAGCGATAATTGTGCCATTTTTAAGACATTTTGTCCACATTGACACTACTTAAATATCCCCTCACTCGTCTGTCCTGTAGGAGAACAAGGAGACTGACCCCAAACACAGTCCTGGCCAGATCCAGCTGACCTGGATGCTGACAGGCCAGGCCATGTGGCCTTCTCTCACCTCCTCTCCTGCACCAAGAAGAGAAGGGATGGCTGGGTGGGGACTGGGGCCCTGAGGGAGCTGTTTGCAGAGCTTCTAACCTACCTGGTGACAGGTGTGAGGGCCTCTGCCAGCAGCCACCACAATAACCAGCACTGCACCTTCACTGGAGCCTCACTGTGCAGACACCACAGTTAATGACAGCAGCCCCCAAGCAATGCCCCTGCCCCAGCCTCTTGCAGTCAGGCTGGGTAACTGTGTGGTGGCTGGCAGGAGCAGAAAAGGCACCTGCATCTGCATCATCCTGTGAGACACTTGGCCATCCTGCCACTTCCTGCTCCTGTCACTCTGCTTCCCTCCTCATCTAGCCCAGCAGTGTCATTGGTGAAGCCCCAGTAAGTTCTCTTTGTCCCCAAAGCTGACACAGAGATATGTACAAAGCCTGGAACCCAGTCCAGTCTCTGCCATTTATTAACTGTATAATCTCAGGCAAGTGACAGATTTGCTGGTGATGGGGATGATAATAGTATTGCTTCATATAAAGATGAAATGAGATAAGCAGTTGTTCTCAAACATCTATAGTGAAAACCAGTTTTTTAAAAACCTTTCTACTCTGTCATGGAGTGATACTTCCATGAAAGACCCTGGTCACACACCTGGCTGTTGGGTACAACAATGTCACCATTGCTCTGAAGGTTCCAAAGTATTACTCTCTGTCTCTGACTCTCTCTGGACTGCACCTAAGCTGTTAGGGGCCACAGGCCACACTTTTGAGTAGCACTGAATAGCACATGTGAGGCGCTTGTCACAGCGTCTGGCAGAGTGAGTGCCGAGAACCACAGTGGCCATCATTCTCATTCTAAGGGCTACTTCCATGGACAGGTCCCTGCCAGTCCCCAATATCCCCTCTGTGGAAGAGCAGGGGCATCAGCAGAGTGTGGGAGTCAGGGGTGGCTCTGTCCCCACTGCAGTTCATGGCTAAGGTCATCAGTGGTCTGTCCTCTCTCCTGCTTTGCCTCCTCAGGTCACTACGGACATGTACCAGGTGCTGGCTGCCAACACATACCAGCTGGAGTGCCGCGGTGTGGTCAAGGTCAAGGGGAAAGGCGAGATGATGACCTACTTCCTCAATGGAGGGCCCCCGCCGAGTTAGCAGCTGCCAGCAGTGGTGCCAGCAGCCTGGCCTCCAGAGGAACGGAAGCGGCTTCTCTGTGTGCCGCGTGGGCAGGTGGGGAGCCTGCGCTCCAGCCACGTGGTCACGCTGGTGAGATTTCCCACTTTGACTTGGAAGCAGCCTCTGCCCTGGCTGGTGGGCGTGGCCTCCGGCCCAGGCCCTGGGTGCCAGCGTCCTGTTAGCACCAAGCTGACCAAAGATGTTTCCCTCTGCAGAAGACTCCGCCGGACTTGAGCTCAGCCTCGAGTTCTCTGACAGGTGCTGCCGCTGAAGGGTGGAGGGCGCTGCTGGAGCTTTCGCAGCCCAGTGCACAGCGGCAGGCCCGCGGAGGGCCTCAGCCTAGGTGGGTGGGTAGGCGGGCTGGACGCTGCCCTGGGGGTACTCGGGGTCCCCCGGGGGTCTGTTTTCCACATGAGCCTTTAAACTTCAGACAGAGGCTGCAGCCCCTGCTTCCTGGCGGTGCTCTGAGGCAGGAGAGCTGGGTTTGTAGGAGCCGTGGCCTTCGCCGCCATCCTCTGCCCATGCGTCCACGCACACAGACTGTGCCCAGTGAGGGAAACAGGACTCATTATGAGGGGGAGGCGAGAGGACGCCAAGCAAGCAGTGGTGGCTCTGAGAAAAAGAAAATATTTATTAAATAAAACAAAACAAGTTTTCTGTGCCCTTCTTTAGACTATGCTAGTTGTATGCGTGTAGGAGACACAAGCAGACGAGGATGCCACTGGGGGGGAGGGGGGACCCCAAGTTGTCTTTTTTGTATTTTTTATTTTGTATTATTGAAAGCCTTGGAGATCTAACAGATATACCAAATTCTATATTTTGTAAATTCTCTATATTAGAAAACAGCTGTGCACAGGGGGCGTTTGTGCTCACTTGTACTGTACCTATGTCGGCGTGTGTCCTGGTGCACATGTGCGTGTGTTCATGCCATGCAGCTGCCCTGCAGGGACCTTCCTCACCTCAGACTCGGCAGTTTTGGTTTTCCCAGGGGCAGTGTGTGTTCTTTTGGGGTACCCTACATTCAGATCAAGGAGGAAGAAGCAGACACACTTGACCCTCTCTCTTTTCTAACACAAAGGCAAAGACACAACCCACTTCCACTGAGTAAAAGCAGATGGAAATGATAAGAAGAAAACAGCCACTTCTTTCCCATCCCAGGCGGTTGGAAGCAAGGGGAACAGCTTCAGTCTGTGTGGGCAGCGTGGCCCCCACCTGTTCTTCTGCTTCTGGGGATGTCAGATGTTCGCGCCTGCAGAGGCAGCACCTAGGGACTCCTGGGAGCTTAGGGATGGGCCAGGGCTGGGAGGAAGTCTAGCCTGCCAGTCTGCTTAGCTGGCCAAGGGGCAGGTGGCTCTCCCTGGACACCATCCCTGTGACCTGGGAATGCAATGTGTAGGTTTCAGGTTTGGGGAAAGGGTGTGACCTTGCCCTCTACCTGTAAACCAGACAGAGGAATGGGTAGAGCCCAGTCTTGGAGTCTGAGGGAAAAGCAGCAGAAGTGTCATTTTGTCTAGTTTTTATTTGAGGGGTGGGAAGGGAGCAGTTCAATACATGAAGGGGACAAAACTATTTTTTATAACTTTTGAGGGAGGCATTTGAAAAATGATGTACTAGCACAGAGTTGTATTTAAGCAGCATCCTTAGGACCTGTTCCCAGATCTTTTCATTGCTTCTCAGGGCAGAATTATTCTTCCTGGACACTTGGAAGGAGACTGGACGGCAGCTATTTGCTGGCTATTGAGACCGTCCTTTATGTCCACCGCAGCACCTTCCCCTCCTACGCCCCCCCACCCCAATTTGAGCGCAGCTCTGAGAAGCAAAGCATATGGACCCCAAACTGCCAAGTCTGAGTGTGTCCCAAGCCCCTGCCACTCCACCTTTGAGTTCTGCATCACTCCTCCAGCCCCTGGCACGGGGCTGCTCTCTCCCGCAGCGTCATTCTCAAGTCCCCTGTCCTCCATATGGCCTGCCAGTGGTGCTTCCGGCCTGAGTAAAGTGTGCGTGCTGAGTTCATCCCGTGTTCCCGCTGTTGGTCTCGGCCTTGTGGGGCCCTCCCCATCCCAGCAGTGACTGGTGACAGCGTGCAGTGCTAGCTCTTTGTTCCCTCTAAGGGGTGTGCACTCTTTTTATTCCTGCTCTTGCAAAAACGGATACGATTATGATTTCCCATGGAAATTGAAAAGTCTATTTAAATAATTTAACTATTAAACACTTTCACTGGTAACGTGTCCTGATCTGATTTGTGGCTTGGGCCAGGGTCCAGGGAAGGATGTTTTAAAACAGGTGAGCCAGATTTGTTTGTATGCCAAGAGAAGGAAAGGAGAAAACACAGGAGGCGAACACAGACCACTGAAAGGAACCCAGAAGGTGGGAGGCCTGGGCCGCAGGCCACAGGTGAACTGATTTGCCTACAGCGCTAATGATGGCTCTCTGTGCCACACTGCAATGGGCACCAGATAAATGTCATCTCACTGAATCCTCCTGGCCACCTCATTTCACTGATGAAGAAATAGAGGCAGAGAAAGGTTGCACTATTTGCTTAAGGCCCCGTGGCTGGAAATAAAGAGAGGAGTTTGAGAACAGGCCTGTCTGCTGTCAAAGCCCAGGTGGGCCCCCCTCAACAGCTCTGTCTGTTGCTTCTGTCAAATTCAGGGTTATATTTGGGTTCAGGACATAAATCCAGAAGGGTGTGGGCAAAGTTTAATGTGGGTGTAAATTAAAAAGCCAGTGACAAGGACTCCACTGTCCTCATTAGTGAATGGACACGGTACATGCTACAGAGGTAGCAATCCTAGTCAGAGCAGACCTCCTTCTCTAAAGAAAATGGATATTATTAGGGCTTCAGATATGCATGGGGAGAGATTCATTTTATAAAGGCAGGAGTTTGAGAAAACTTCAGGCTGGAGCATATCAATTTGAAAAGAAAACCAGATGACAAGGAAGTTCAAACTTCAGAGAGCAATTGACGTAAGTGGGAACTTTAGCCGTAAAGAGGCTCAGGAGGCTGAGGCAGGAGGCTAGTGAGTTCAAAGTCAGCCTCAGCAAAAGCCAGATGCTAAGCAACTCAGTGAGAACCTGTCTCTAAATAAAATACAAAACAGGGCTGAGGATGTGGCTCAGTGGTTAAGTGTCCCTGAGTTCAATTTCTGGTACCCAAAACAGACAAACAAAACTCCCACCTGCTGTGACTGGTAATCACTGTCCTGTGAAGCCCCTGAAACTGAATATGTACATAGTGCATACCAGGACACCAAAAGGAGGTGACTGGAAACCTTCATAAACCCTTCCTGTTCTCAGCTCAATTAAGCTGATCCCAGAGAATGTATGGTTCTTCCTTAAAGGTTTTCACTTTTTTTTCCCCCAAAAGCATCTCCACACCTAGAAAACTCATGAAACTTATTAGGAAAAATGCCATGAATATTGGCAAGAGTTTGAACACCTCTATGCCTACTAATAGTAAATGCCAGACATCCATCCGTCAACCTGGCTGTTAGACTGCAGTATGTAGTTAGCGACGAATGAGTGAGAAGGCAGAGTGAATCCCGGGCACTGAGGAGGCAGAAGGTGAATGTTATCAGGGAGCCATGTGACCTCAAGACTTCCAAAGTTAGAAATATCCTTATGAACTTTTCCAAAAGCAAGTCCCAGCCCAAGTGGCACAGAGTTGACAGAGGCCTAGAGCTGCAGTGTGCACATGGTCAACAGGTGTCTTTCATGACGCTCTCTTCATAGACTGCTCATCAGCAGCATCTAAGCTTCCCTGATCCTAAAAGAGACGCTAAGCCTGTCACCACAGGGCATGAAGCACTGGCAGACATGCGGATGGATAGCTTAGAAGTAGTACTGAGCAGATTCTCACTGCCACTGGCCAAGAGAATGACAAAGGCAGAAAAACACAACTCAGAAAACCCACAGCTTTTGACTTTGTCCAAACCAAAACAACACTGAAGAGAACAAATCATGTACATAGCTCACCCTCGAAACAAAGGGAACTGGCCAGGTAGGGCCATGTTGGCCACGGTTGCTCTGCACAATGCCACCACCTCTTAGGGCAAGTACCAGCAGAGTGGGAACGCTGGTGCTATTTATGAACGTGAGATTATTTACTCACCATCCCCCTGTCTGGATGAACTGCACAGTGTATAACACATTTTCTCACTTCGGCCTCTCCAGGGTCTGGAAGCAGTTCAAGGAAGGGTTGGTGCATCCCCCAAGGCTGCTCAGACGCTTAGTGACAAGTGGCTTTGGCACTTGTCCCAGGGCGCTTCTGTCCAGTGTGCCCATCTGGCTGGGAACTGCTGGGCTTGGCAGGAACCCCAGGGCGCTCATCACTCCTCAAGGTCAACAGTAGGTGCGATCCAATTAATAAAGGATGCTTTTCTTATCCTTCCAGATTTTCCAAAAGCCCTCTGGGGTTTTTCTCCTATCTTAGGAAGGAAAATATAATATTTGCTGTCCTCTTGCCTGTCTTTCCTGCCCATCTGCAGGGTCGCTGCTTCACAACACAAGAACAAAGCCAAATGAGGGCATCACCATGGCTGGCCTCCAGGGCCCTTCCCCACTGGCATTCTTGGATTCTAAATATTTGTGTAACTCTTTATCCTGTCTTCAAGTGCCAGACGACACGTATGGCACAAATGTAAACACAGCCTAATTAAGACTAAGATTTTAGAGGCAAAGGCACAGACACAAGTGAGAGAAAAGCATGATGCCAAGGGGATCTGTAGGACAATCACCTTCAAACCAAGGTCAAGCACAGCCCTGGCTTTGCCCTTCTCCAGACACCAACCCAGCAGCAGCTGCCACAGTACCTGACAGCAGCATAGCCAGGAGCCTCTGACATCAGGGTCTCCAATCCAGGGGTTGCGGGGAGAAAGGTAGGGAGCAATCGAGATTCACAGAGCAAGCAGAGGGTCCAGAGAGACAAGGGAAAGGGAAAAGATGATGTAAGGGTGAGGATCAAGGGTACAGCCTCCTGTCCCCACTGGATTCCCAGCCCCACACCTCAGCCACCATGTTTCTAGTAAGCAGTCTCCCACGGCCCCCCATCCCCACTCCACATGGCCATAGCCTGCTCATCCCCAGGGCCACTTTCATATTGCTGGTCCATTAGGCCCATGAATTTAAAGAATTCACACTGGAATTCATTAGGGGGTCCAACACCATTTTTTCCATTGGCCAATTTCTAATTTAGACCTGGCTAGAATGGGTTTGTCAGCATCTCTATTTTCACTCACTAGTTCTCCAGTTTTGCAGAACTCACTCCCCTACTTTGTCAGTGAGCCACAGTGACACTCCTGCCACTCGCTGCCCGCCACTACCCCTGCTCATGCAGGATGTTTTTTGGAGATGTTTTCCTTCAGATGAAAAGATTCATGTTACACTTGTATCTTTTAAAGGTGCCTTAGTTCTCCTTTCCCCAGCATCTGTACAGTTGAAGATGCAGGCTGAAGGCTGCTAGCTGCCCACTTCTACCCCTCGCCTTTCCCATCAATGCACACGGTCCTGGGAACCCTTACTGAAGGCACTAAGGCAGCTGCACCCAAGAGTGCCTGCTAAGTTGGATTAGTATGTTCAAAGCAAAGTGGACCTTCACTTAAGTGGTGGCTTCCGAAGAGCTTTATAGATGACTTATCACATCTGGGGGCATCCACGAAAACCTATAATACCTTTAAAGAAACAGTAGACACAAGAAGGCTACCTGAATCCCAGATTTACGGCAGTCGCTTTCCTCATACTTGCTGTGCCAGGCTCTGTTCTCAGTGCTTCACATGGATGGACTCACTGGATCCTCACAACCACCCCACTTTACACAGACGGAAACTGAGGCAGAAAGGCTAAGTGATTTGCTGAGGTCCAATGCTAGTAGAAAGGAGAGCAAGAGAGTCTGGATCCAAACTTTTAATCACCAGTTTAAACTGTAAAACGTTACCTCCTATTCTTTGGTTAACATTTTCAGCTATAGGAATGACTTCAAGCAGAGGTCCCATGAAATTACTTCAAGCCAAAGAACAAATGTAATGTTGTATTCCACCAGGAAAAAGTTTGTAATACACAAATCACCAAGGATGCTTGGATCAAGAGTTAATTTCGCCGGGTACAGTGGTGCATGCCTGTAATTCCAGAGGCTTGGGAGGCTGAGACAGAAGGTTCCTGAATTAAAAGCCAGCCTCAGGAACTTAGTGAGGCCCTAAGCAACTCAGTGAGACCCTGTCTCTAAATAAAATACCAAAAGGGCTGGGGATGTGGCTCAGTGGTTAAATACCTCTGAGTTAAATCCCCAGTACCAAAAAAAAAAAAAAAAAGTTTCACTGCAAATGTTACAACATATACTTCCTTCCTTTAATATCTAAAATCCACTAGGATTTCCCATACCTCCTATAGCCATCTGTTCTGTATAAATTTTATAGATGTATAAATTTTAGCAAACTATTTTATTCACCTAGGTCATCTATACTACAGAGATGGCACTGACCTGATCTCTTTTATTAAAAAAAAATTTCATGTAAGCTGGGTGTAGTGGTGCACATCTGTAATCCCAGTGACTTGGGATGCTGCTGAAGGAAGAGGATTGCAAGTTTGAGACCAGCCTCAGTAACTTAGCAAGACCCTGTCTCAAAATAGAAAACAAAAAGGGCTGGACAACAAGTGCAGTGACACATGCCTGTAATCTCAGTGGCTTAGGAGTCTGAGGCTGGAGGATCACAAGTTCAAAGCTAGCCTCAGCAAAAGTGAGGTGTTAAGCAACTCAGTGAGGCCCTCTCTTTAAAAAAAAAAAAAAAGAAAAAAAAAATATATATATATATATTTTAGTTGTAATTGCACATAATAGCTTTATTTATTTTTATGTGGTGCTGAGGATCGAACCCACAGCCCTGCACTTGCTAGGCGAGTGCTCTACCACTTAGCCACAACCCCAGCCCTAGACCCTCTCTCTTAATAAAATACAAAATAGGGCTGGGGATGTGGCTCAGTGGTTGAGTGCCCCTGAGTTCAATCCTCAGTAACAACAACAACAACAACAAAAAAGGGCTGGGTATGTAGCTCAGTGGTAAAGCAACCCTGGTTTAATCCCCAATACCGGAGATATATTTTAACAGATTGCCATGTTCTATAGCTTAGTTACAGGGTAGCTAAGTGTATGAGTTCTGAGATGAAATCTGGTGCTACTACATGGGTTAGACTGTGACTGAAGTGAGGTTGCTCAACTTCTTTGGGTTTAGG